ATATGTCGTATATTAACTCGTATAATTGTGTATTGTTTAAAAAGCGCCGTGAACTTTTTTCATCGCCAGGTAGTTCGACGATGTTAATCAGTTTTCCGGCGACTAGTAGCCACCACAAGTCACGTACTAACGAAAACCTGAAGCAAATTTTTGTTGTCCAAATTCCAATTTCAATTTTTTGTTGTTGTCAACTCGGTGCCAGAAAGTGCAGGAAATGGCATTTCCGAGCCTCAATTTTTCAAATTTTTCCGGGGGATCCTGGACCCCCCTAGATTTCAGCCCAGCTCCCAATTTTAAATATATCTTCCTACGCTACTGCTGTGACAGTTCGATCCTGTTTTGCATGTCGTGTTTCAATTAGCTGAACTACGCTATCCAACTTAGCTGAAAATTAGCCTCCCCCCAAATAAAACCCGTTCCGCTGCCGCTGGCTTTATAACCAATGCACATTTAGGAAAACGAGGCATTATAGCCAATTGCCTGAAAAAGATGTCTGAACAATTGCGCATTGCTTGCTTTGTTTAAAATTATTGCAGACGTGCTATAACCCCAACGTGTACTACTTCAATGAATTGAGACACTAATATTCAATCCTCCATTAATATTCAAACAGCAGTCTGTGGAGAAAGTGGTATTCCAAGTTCCAACGGTTCAAATACGAGATATTATTCCAGAATTGTTGGTTGCATTTAGCTTCGCCAATAATGCAATATTTGCATGGTAAAGACACCTGGATAGAGAAACAACATCAGAACTATGATCAGAATCAATAAATATCCATTGACAAAATGGCAAGAATGAAAGTATGATGAATTAAGAGTTGGGAAATTTTGTAGCTTGATTATACTTGTTGGCAAGGGTCAATTTTTCGAAATGTAATTCCGGATACAGTAGACGACAGCGCCATTTCTAATATATATCCATACAAATGATGTCAGGTCACTTAAGGCCTGTCAGTGTCTATAAGTAACCAATTCTGTCTCCCCCCGCATGGGCTTTAGCAGTACTAGTGAATCGTAACAAGGCCCAACATAGAGGTAGGTAGGCGTGGCAGCAATTTGCACTACTCCCCTCCCAAATGACAGGGTGCCCATCGCGTGAAAAAAAGGACAAATTGAACGATGTGCTGTATCGTATTAGTTATTAGAGAGGGTAAAACAGAAAATTTTTGGGAAGATTATAGGTGACACTCCGAACGGGCGTTTTGGGAAATTTAGATAATATAGAAACCAGAAAGTAGTTTGAACCTATATAGGCTACTGACATAAAGACGCGAGCTCCACGGCCTCCTTCTTTAATACATGCATCCAAATTAAAGTAACCGACAGAATGCGAATATTGCTGCCCGTGAAGTGAATCCCTCGGCAGACGTCTTGTTTAAATATCATTATAGGTCTCATCTCACCAATTAAAAAGAATAAAGCATTTTGTTTCCAAAATCCAAACATATAGATATATACTACGAACCTGGTAATTGTCTCATTACATACGTTACGAACTTGTGACATTTTGTAATCAGGAATTGTTCGTTGATATTTTTTTAACCGTGCCTATCCTTCCAATTAATTTACTCATGATCTTAACGTTTTAGGACAGATGGCATATTTACAATTTTCCTATTAAAATTCAGACTTCAGGGAGTCTGATTAGTGAAATGGGAACACTGCATGATCACTGTCAGTGAAGCTTCATTGATATCTGAAAAATCAATTTGATACTCAGCATGATTGTATTTTTCTCGTTTGTGAGCATTAGAAAACGTGCATACACAACAGCACCGTTTTATCCCCGGCCACCTCCGTCGTATTTTTACGCATGTTTATCTGAACAGAGATTAATTTTCAATTTCACAAATTTATTTGGATCAATAATACATACAACTGTAACACACAATAACTTCTTAAATCTCCATAGTATAATCGAACGCATTTTGCAAATAGCTCTTCTTTGTAATATATAATTATCTTAGTTCTATATTTTAAAACTTTTCTTGTTTATATATATACATCGCATATAACCTGCATGCATATTATTATTGTATAATCTTTTGTATTTGTATAGTTTTCTCAGGGACCTTCTGAAAAACACAACTTGTGATGTTGGTTTTCCTGAATAAATACTATTATCAATACAATATATTATCAATACAGTATATATAAGTAAGAATTAATAACTTGAAGATCTACTAAAAGGCAAGGTACGAATGGGAGGCTTGAAGAAGGACCCATGCAAGGCACCTACCAACATATAAAATACTATATATACGCATGTATCCGAAAATTTTTTAAATGGAAGACATATGCGGAAAGACAATACAAACAAACAGGCATACACAAACAGGCAGCTATAGTTAGCCTCCTCCGCAGGCCTCTCTATGCTGCGGAGGAGGCTAGCTATATAGTCCGGTGACAAGGACCTTCGCGTGCTAAGGACCACGTACAGGACAAATCATCATCATAGACTGTCTGAAGAAGATAAGAATAGTTATGCTTAAGAGAGGTTGTAAAAGTAATGGGACTGGGGAAAGTGTCAGGATCAACATCCTTACACACTCTGTTCCAGGATTTGACTATGCGGTTAAAGAACCGAGATATGATTGGAAAGTAGTAGTTCGACACATATGAGTTTGAAGGACAACACTAGCAACCTACCCGAGTTTAGTACGACCATGAATGTCCAACGAAAGTCACATAATTGTCAATGTTAAGATTAATATAGCCGTACAGGGCCTCATAAAAACAAAGTATAAGGTAAAGGGGTAGTAGGTCCAATGTCAACAGTCGCTGTTTATATAACATTTCACCCTTTTTGATTTTCAATATCCATAATTTGGTCAAACTCCTCTGAACTCTCTCGATTCTTTTACTCAGTAGTCTGTTCTGGACTTGAGAACTCAACACTTGCAAAGCGAGAGGTAAAGTGAACGTTGAGCACACCAAGTTGTTTGTTAGCCTTTGCCACCACCTCGTTTATGTGTGAGTCCCGTATTCTAAAAGCCGCTCACTCACACTCACACTCAATGAGTGGAAGTTCAATCTGAGCTTTTCTTGAGTGTCAATGCTGTTTTTGACTAGCTGGAGGGTTAGTGTCGGATTACTATGTGACTACTCTCTTCTTTATTATACCCTACAGCTATTCAAAAACAGCATTGACACTCAAGAAAAGCTCAGATTGAACCTCCGCTCATTGAGTTTGTGAGTGTGAGTGAGCTTTTAGAATACGGGCGTTAGTGAGTGTCGTCTGCAAATAAATGTGATTAAGTTCCATCCGTAATGACTTCTGGAACAGCATTCATATAAAAGATGACAAAGAGCAATGGTCCAAGAATACTGGCTTGAGGAACTCCAGGTGTAACAGGGGTCCATTGTGACGCCAACCCATCAACTACGTACGACGCTTTGTCGACGATAGTTCAAATAATGACAGAACCAATCTAAGAGTTTTCCCGCACTCCATAGCACTTTTGAGTGTTCCACACAATCGAAAGCTTTCGCGACGTCAAGGTATAAGATGTCGGTTTGGGTGTTCTTGTCAAATTTTTGTCCGATAGAATGAAGTACTGAGAGCAGTTGTGTAACGCAAAAGCGATTTCTTATATATCCATGTTGATGTGGAGTAAAGAGATGCAGGACATGTTGATAAAATTTGACTATACACGCAGCATTCCAAAACTTTACTGACTATATATGGGCCTATGGGAAGAAGTGAGATAGGTCTATAATTTTCTGCCATATGTTTTTGTTTCTTGTATCCCTGATGGAGGTGACGTTTGCTGATTTTCATTCTAAAGGAACTCGACCACGGATTGCAGTCTGCAGAGAGTGATTGAAGACATCTCAAACAGGGGCGAAACAAGCCCATTTTAATTCGAGGGTATCTGCTAGAATTGCCCTGCAATAGCCGATGATGCCCTGCAGCAAGGGCCACTACTTTTGAACAAATTTTTTCCGGACATTCAAAAAAAGGGTCGAAAAAATTTTTCCGGACATGAACCAGTTAAGTTAAGAGTCAAAAATTTTTTTCCGGACAAATTCCTGTTAAAACATGCGCCAGAGTGAAACCCTTATTTTTGGACCAATATCTGTAATAATTTAGGTCTATAAATTCTCATATTCAATTCCCTCTGGAAGCCCTGTAAGTTACTTAATAACTCTACATTCTATCATTTAAAATCTTTTATTGCCCTGCCAATCCAGATGATTCGCCCTGCCAATCCAGATGATTCGTACTTTGGGGGCAATCCAGATGATTCATACCCCCTCCCCTCAAGTTTCGCCCCCTGATCTCAAAGGCTTGGTGCGATTTGTTGGAAACACTCCTTTAATTACAGTGAAAATACAAAAAGTGTCCCACTTCCGCTTCTGTAGTTTGTTGTGATTTACAGTAATTTGTTCTGTTTTTCTGTAGCGATTACCGATTTATCGGCAAATACTGCGATAAAATTTAAATTTCGTACCTTTTATGCAATGAAACTAACGAAAAATGGATTATTTCCCTTTGCTACGAATTATCATATTTAAAAAGTAGAGAAAACTAAGTTTTATCGCGGTATTTGCCGATAAATCGGTAATCGCTACAGAAAAACAGAACAAATTACAGTAAATCACAACAAACTACAGAAGCGGAAGTGGGACACTTTTTGTATTTTCACTGTAAGAGCCGGGCGGAATGCCATCAGGTCCATTTGCCTTCGACGCATCCAAACTGCTCAAACAGTTGGCAACTTCATCCGAAATGATTGTAATTTCAGATAATCTCAGCTCAGTTTTCGTTTGAAAGGAAGCATTGACAGCGTCGTTGAGAAGCATCGTTTTTGAGAGTTTTCAAACAGGTGATAGTCTGTGTACAGCCGTTACAGGTGATTGCATGTACATAATTCAATTGTTGAACTTTTGCAATAATGAATTGCAAGTGACATTAATTGCTGAAAATAATCGACCAATCACAGAACGACTTCGTGGACAAATTGTCGTCAGCGGTCTTCGGTGGATAGGCCACATATTGTGTGTGAGCGTGTATGTCTTGTGTAATAATACATATATTTTAAATACTTATTTTAAGCAACGAATTTCTACGTTTCTTCACGGTTTTACCTGACTGTATCGAAAATGTGTGTGTAACGTGTATTCCCGTGGTCTATCCACAACGTCAAGTTGTTCTATGTTGGTCTGAGATGGCGTTTACTCTACGAAGAAATCGCATTATACTCGCAACTATATTAATTTTGCTTCCTGTTATTTTTTTGATTATAACTTCAGATGGTGGCCACAGAGGTAAGTTTGGACTTCAATCTTATTTACAATATGATAAATAGGCTACACATTGTTTAATAACACGATTTTAGCAGCAGCAAGCGATGTAGATATAGTTTACGTTTGTGCCTCAAGCTCCCGGTGTAAACAATATGCACATTTCATCTTACAATAATAATAATAGTATTAAGTGGCTAGGATGTTTATTGGATGTGTAGGTATACACATTGATCTATTAAAATTGTAAATCGTATCTCTATAAAGTGTTATTTTAATGGACTATTCCAGTGATTCCACACATTTCGTTCATTTGCCGGTGCCATTGTCAGCGACTCATTCAACTCGACAGCCTGTTGTTTGTACATTGTTGGATTTTCAATTTTAATTTTTATATTGACATAGATGTTTTAATCTGGAAATAAACACCCAAAGTAGCATATAAACGTGGCATGGTTTGTTCTGAGCTTTAAGTCATGTCCGGTATTATTTGAATTTTTATCGTAAAATCGAATTTTAAAGCAATTTTAAATCAGGCAACGTATTATATAATAAAACAAAATATTTTTTATATTTCTGCATACTCCTATATTTTGCTGCTGTTCAGAAGATTAATGGTTTGTGTGTTATCTAGTGTAGCAGCATTAATTCATTTTTACTAGGATTTTGTATTCATTTCATTATCAAATATGACTATGAGTTGCCACATTAATAGAATTCTGTTGACAATGTGCATTAACTCTTTGTAACTTGAGATACTGTTTTTTAATACATTTTCTTGCATGTCAATGTTTATAACAATTTTATATGTCTTTCCTCTCAAATAGGTTTCCAAAAATTCTGCTTAGATTACTTTAAATTTTAAAATGGCTTGAATATCTTGGCACAATTTTATTGAATGCTAATACTGTATATAAGGATTTTTAATTAAAATACCTGTTCTGCTTATTAAAGAGCAAATCATTTAAGTGTAATTAATCAGGGTTTTTGACTGATATTTTTTTTGTGCATGTGCACAACATTGTCAGATTTTGAGAGGAAGTTGAGATGATAGATAATTATAGAGAAAGTGGTAGTTTGACAAATTTTTGAACTTGAAAAACTGTTAGCCATTCATCCTGTGTCAAGTACACATACTTGCTTTGAAACAACTTTGTATAATGAAGGGCAAAATTGGATGAGTTGTACAGTCATAATTCATGAATACACTGATACAATTTGTACAGTACATGCATATGTTATGTAGTTGACTTTTATGGGGCAACGTTCTAAGCCCTAACCATCTATGGGGGCTGTGAGCTAGACCGCTGCACCTCTCCCAAGGTTGGGTTGACTACAAAATATTTGTAGTTCGCTATAACTACAGCTACTTCAAAAATATGTAGTCAGCTACAGCTACTGCTACTTTTGAACAAAGGTAGTTCGCTACTGACTGCAGCTACTGCTTAAAAAATGTAGCGAACTATTTCGCTATTTCGCTACACTATATTTTTTAGTTTTACTGTATTTGGAGCATCTACTACTCAGGCTGCAATGTATAACCTATAACAAATCGACTTACGAGTAGCAACAGTAAACACAAAGCAACACTTTGTAAGCGCTACGTACACTCTTCCAGAGTGCAAATAATTGACTATTGCGGATTGATTTTAAAAATTAAGCAAACCGTGTCTCAATATCATGCTATTCTATCAAGTTGCTAACAATTTAAAAAAGTAGCGAATAGCGATTTGCTGTTTGAAAAGTAGTCAACTACTTGGCTACTTTTAGGCAAAATGTAGTTCGCTATAACTACAGCTACTGTTTTAAAAAAGTAGTCAAAAACTACTGGCTACTTGAAAATTGTAGTTCGCTACAGTAGCGAACTACAACTACTTCGCTACTACCCACCCTTGACCTCTCCTAATTATTTTTCCGCCTCCTCCAGCATTTCCACCAAATCAGACAAACACACATCCTATCAACGTATGTCCCCCCCTTTTAATAATAAATTGATTTGTCTATTAGTATATTCAAATAAATTATGTAAGAACTCTAATGACGATAGAATATTAGAGTGAGTGTCACGTTACTTTTACAGTATTAGGTAGCATGCATTGTTTTAATCAAGTGGGATATATATTTTACTGCAAGGCAACAATGTTATTGCATGCCAAATTTGACTATAAATCACCACAAACTGCAGAAAAACATGAGACCCCTTACATGAGAGGAAATAAATTAGATTTGTTAAGTATGAAGACTGTAGTATATACTGTACAGAAGGGGTGTTAGCAAAATGAACAACCCATGAAGTCACCAGTGTCAGATTTCAGGTTAATTGTTGTTGTTGTTGTTGTTGTTGTTGTTGTTGTTGTTGTTGCAAACAACTCTGATTATATGTGGAAAAGACTTACTGTACAAAGTCAACTGAGTGGCACATAAAGTTAGAAGTATAGTTAATAGCACACATAAAATATCTTCAAATACAACAACACAGGTTATGATGTTATCATTTATTTCTTTATGTATAACTATTTACAAGTACATAATGGCAATTGATTAAGTTAATTTGTCTTCCAATTATACGGGTATAGAAGCATAATGTTTATATTACACTAATACATAAAGTACAAGCATTAACATGGGCGTACGGGAAGGAAAAAATTAGGGGGGGGGGGCAGAAAGAAATTTGCCAGACTTTTTGGATAGCCCAAGTTGTCAAAACAATTTTCAGACTTTCAAATTGTTGTGAGGAGGGAGGAGTGATTTCGAAAAATTCCTATTAGATAGCATATTTCCCACAATATTGACAGAATTTCCAACAAAATTGACGGAATTTGTCCCATTTACTTTTATAATAAGCCAATATTGCCCGACTGTGAAGGAAATATTGCCAGACTGGGGGGCTGACGCCCCCCTCGCCCCCCTCCCGCTCGGTACGCCCATGAGCATTAGTGCTATGGTCTTATACAGGGCTCAAGATTTGTGGTATCCCAATATCCATGGGATACCAGATTTCAATTTTGGATATTGGATATTTGAATTTCTGATCCAAACTCCAAAGTTTGTACATTGTGGCGAAATGCTCAACAAATTTTTTTCCCGTTGTTTGTCACACAAAGATTAATTCCAAACATATATACCACTGATATACTGGTACTACCTGTATAAAAAAGCATGTGCTCAAGCAATTGTTTTTAAAGTTTTATATCTTTAGTTACTTTTTAACCTGAAGATGGAGTTATACTTCGAAACGTAGTTATTAAAATAATCTTTTTGTACTGAGCCTATATGGTCTAATTTATTCAAACACAGAATGTTTATGATAGTTTTTTTTTTTTAAAAATGCGGAGATATTTTATACGAAAACAGCAAGACAATCAACAAGAGAGATGGCGAACTAACTTCGGTAACCCAAGCACAACAATGTCAAGAAAGCATGCATGTTGAAATTGGTGATGAAGGCCCACAAGATGAAGCACTGCAGCCGATCCAAGTCAATGATCATGAGCTAGGGACATTTTATTAAGACTAGAGTAATTTTAAACATACTTACAGTAGTTCTTGTTGAATATTCAATCATTGTATTTTACTTTATTTAAAGTTAAATTAAACACTAGTAATAAAAATGTACAACATTTTACATAAAATTTTCCACATTGTCAACCATTATCAGTTATCCAGAACTGTTTTTGAAAATGAAATCTGACATTGACCATGTGGAAAAGTTGAACATCATTATCACTAGTGTTAACCTCCAGTTGAGTGTTTTTCACAATTGTCACTTATAAGAGTATATCTACTTACCAATGTTATATAATTTACTAATTTCAAATAATTGGTTTAAAATACATTTTTCTTGGAGGTCATTGTTATAAGATTACATAAATCATAATGATCAGCGTCTGTCCCCCACTTATTGTTTTACCTAGTTGTTTGGATACTGCTAATCAGAGCACCTACTGTTTAAGCCTGTGTATACTAAATTCAAGGAGGGGTACCAGATTTTAAGGTGCTAGTATCCACTTGTATACTGGTAAAAGATTCAAATCTTGAGCCCTGTTATAAAGTAGGACTACAAATATATAGTTGCTGAACACAATTCAACCCTGAATAGAAATCAATGCTTCAAAAAAGTTAGCAATCCAAGCATTAGACCATATAGTAGCAGCAAAACTACTAAAAGCAGCGAAAATCCATTTTCAAGAAATTTTAAAAGAAACTTGTATTTGGTTGTCGACGCTGTTGTCATGTTCGGCTGGAATCTTGTATTCCTGGTAGGGCCATCCATGCTGAACAGGTCGTAACGCCATTGGCTCACCTGAAACACACCATGAAAGTTGGTAACTGGAATGTACCAACAAATGAAAAGTGGAAGGAGGAGTATAGACATCGTTTGGCATCAGTGAAACATATTGGACGAGGCAAGAGAAATCAAGATTGCAACTTGCAGATGGAGAGACCATAATTTACTCTGGAAGAGATGATGACAACCACAGCGTCAGAGGGATAGATATTCTGATGTCAAAAAAGCAGCAGGAGCTCTCATAGAATGGACCCCAATCGGCGAGAGGATCATTCACATTAATTTCATGCACCAATGGTAGATGTAGACGAATAGGTGAAGGTCATATGAGTTTTACATGAGACTGCAAGACGTACTGGATGATAGGATTGATAGGTACTGTACTGTACATGATATGTTGATTGCCACTGGGGATATTAATGCAAAAGTAGGAGATCAAAATTGGGACTATGAAAGGGTTATGGGTAAGCACGGATGGGTGAGTGCAATGATAATGGAGAAAGACTTTGTGAAATGTGCTATATAAACGAGCTAGTAACACCAGGAACATTGATCCCATACAAGAACATGACCAAAGTAACGTTGGTTTCTCCAGATGGGAAGACCAGAAATCCAGATAGATCATGTTTTAATTAGTAAGCAGTTCAGAAATTCTGTGAAAGACACAATGAGATTTTACAGATTTGAAGACATCGGAAGTAACCACTATCTTGTATTACAACCATCAAGCTAAGGCTAAAGTCACAAGAGGAAAAGAAAAATGGCAGAATCAGATACGATACATTCACGTTGAGACATGAAGACATGCTGAGAACGTTTAACATTGAGAAACATGTACCAGGCACCAGAAGAAAAGGAACCAGTAGCAGAGGAAGATAAAGTGGAGCGAAATTTTGAGATAATGAGAAAGACATCGACAGAAGTTGCAGAAACAATCCTTGGTAGAGCACGTGGGGGAAAAGCCATTGGTTAGCGAGGAAACGTGGAGTCTCATTGACCATCGTGAGGCCATTAATGAGAAGAGGGAGTTGAAGGGAATAGGGAGTTGAAGGGGAATATCAAGGCTGATAAGAAGAGATGGATGGATAACATCGCAAGAAGACACTGCATGGACTAACAAAGACAATGTGCAACGAAAGACCAAGGCACAGCGCCGCAGTACTGGGCAAGATCGGGAACCTCTTCAACAGGAAAAAAGACGTACAGGACAGAAGGAGTGCTAAACACGATACGGATGTGAAACTTGGAAAATGAGCTAGGGGAACGACAAGACGGTCGACGTGTTTCACAAAAGGTGTTTGCATGGCCTTCCCAATCTGATGGGAAGGCCACGTCAGAACTGAGAAGTTACTTGAAAGAGCAGGAATGAAGGCGCTGAATGAAGAAGTCAAATCAAGAAGGTGAAAAAAGTTTGATCATATCATGAGACAAGATCCAAACAGTGATATGTGGCTATGACATGGGCGCCAGAGAAAAAGAACGAAGAGGAAGACCTAAAACTACATGGAGGAAGACAGTTTGGGATGAGGCGCAGGTAGTATAACAGCTGGCAGAGATATATGGAAGGCCTCTGTGAAGGCCTTAGTGCCACTATAGGCTATAGTCTATAGGCACCTGGAGGATAGATGAATCCTTTAACAACTTTAGCACACGTTTTAATATCCACATAATAAAATAGAATTTCGATATCTCGCTGGGATAGAGTAACCAATAACGTCCACCAGCCCTATAACCACAACTAAAATCTGTTCGCTTGTATTTGTCTGTCTCGTGCTCGCTCAGGCATGCTTGGGAGTTTATTGTTTGGGTAGATAAATTACTGTTTGATGACTTTGTAATATGCAAATATCGACTCGCTTGTATTTGTCTGTCTCGTGCTCGCTCAGGCATGCTTGGGAGTTTATTGTTTGGGTAGATAAATTACTGTTTGATGACTTTGTAATATGCAAATATCGACTCGCTTGTATTTGTCTGTCTCGTGCTCGCTCAGGCATGCTTGGGAGTTTATTGTTTGGGTAGATAAATTACTGTTTGATGACTTTGTAATATGCAAATATCGACTCGCTTGTATTTGTCTGTCTCGTGCTCGCTCAGGCATGCTTGGGAGTTTATTGTTTGGGTAGATAAATTACTGTTTGATGACTTTGTAATATGCAAATATCGACTCGCTTGTATTTGTCTGTCTCGTGCTCGCTCAGGCATGCTTGGGAGTTTATTGTTTGGGTAGATAAATTACTGTTTGATGACTTTGTAATATGCAAATATCGACTCGCTTGTATTTGTCTGTCTCGTGCTCGCTCAGGCATGCTTGGGAGTTTATTGTTTGGGTAGATAAATTACTGTTTGATGACTTTGTAATATGCAAATATCGACTCGCTTGTATTTGTCTGTCTCGTGCTCGCTCAGGCATGCTTGGGAGTTTATTGTTTGGGTAGATAAATTACTGTTTGATGACTTTGTAATATGCAAATATCGACTCGCTTGTATTTGTCTGTCTCGTGCTCGCTCAGGCATGCTTGGGAGTTTATTGTTTGGGTAGATAAATTACTGTTTGATGACTTTGTAATATGCAAATATCGACTATAACAACAGCGCTACAACAAAATATAAAATATTTTCGTGTGCAAATAATATGTTTGGATTTTTGCTACTTTTAGCAGTATTGTTGCTATAGTATATGGTTTACAGTCAAACCGGATGTTCTCTTGCAAGCAAAATTGCAATATTATCCCACAATATTGCAATTTTGATAGGGAGATTGCTCTGAGCAATTTGCAACGGACGCGAACAAATTGCAAGTTGAAATTCACAAAAGATTTGTAAACAAAGCCTCTGATTGGACTATAAGAAAGAGGGAAGCACCAATCCAGTTGCTCAGACTATTCGATTGGCTTCCCTCTATAATCCAATCAGAGGCTTTGTTTACAAATCTTTTGTGAATTTCCAACTTGCAATTTGTTCGCGTCGGTTGCAATTTGCTCAGAGCAATCTGCCTCTCAAAATTGCGATATTGTGTGACAATATTGCAATTTGCTCGCAAGAGAACATCCGGTTTGACTGTAATGCTTAGATTGTTAATTCTTTTCGAAGCATTATGATTTATATTTCTTTTGAGAACTGTGTTAAATTGTGCTTGGCAACGCTTGTATGTATTGGTCTATAAACTTTATGCTCGTATAGACTGTAACGTTTGAAAGCAAATAAACTTCATCAGTTTTCCACGTGTTGTATATTATATGTCCCGTAATCAGAGTTGCTTACAACAAAAATACTAGCCTAGACCTGGGCCTTCATTCGGCAAGCTGCACTTGATTTGCAGGCTAATCGACTTCAATTTTCCTATGACGTAGCAATTCCTTCGTCCCGCCTCCAAATTGCCTAGGTTCCAGTCTTCCCACGTGAAAAAGCGCTGAAATATAACTAGAAAGTCCTAAGTCTAGGCTGGGAAAATACATAAATTAACCGATGGCGTCATGGGTGGTATATATTTTGCCATAGACGGCTATACAATAAAAAACCCTCAAAAGATAGCTTGTTGTCTAACTATTTTTTTTTTAAACTTTGTATAGTTCTAACAAGTGGAGTAGAAGTGGATCCATCTATTATTGAAAGACTAAAGATTCTCTCCATAAGATTACGTCTTGTAGAATCAAAAAATGACGACATTTCTCAAAGTCTTATATCCATTAGGTCATCATCATATCATCATTATGCTAGTGATACGAAAAACAACAATACTAAAGTTCGAGATGTAGATTTTATGAATAATTCTCAATTAACACTACCTAGTATTTATAATTATATGTCACATTTATTGGGAAGCAAGAATAGTTTGGTACCAGCATTTCAATTGTCTGCAGGCAGACATGCAGGTATGGTATTGTAATTTACTGTATATAAAGGCCTAATTCCACGACGAGCGAAATGCGAAAAATTTCGCGCGAAAACACACTTGTGCGAAAATTTTCTCTCGTAGTGATTTCCACAGAAGAGAAAAAATTCGCCAAAACACAAGCATTTGATATTTTGATTGATTTCGCTATTTTGTCATCCAAAACACAAACATTTGATTGGCTTCGCTATTTCCATTTCGCAACGGAGTAGAAACGAATTCAACTACCTGGCGAAGAGAAATATTTCGCAGAGAAACACTCCAAAATCATGTTGCGCATGCGTTCAACCTTTTCGCGCGAAATTTTTCGCATTTCCGCTCGTCGTGGATTTAGGCCTTAACACTTCAGCACAAATTTTGCAAAGAAAACGAACATTGGATCTACATTCTACGAGCACTGGTTTTTAACCAATGTAATTAGGAAGGGTCCTGTAGCAGACAATGTCATCTGGAATTTATTATAAAAATGGAGATTTTATTTTAAAAAAGTACAGCACGAGTGACGAAGTATCGTTTTCCTGATGGTTTGTCTATAATGCCATACTCACTGTCGATGCAATGGAAGTGTTGATAAATTATTTCATGAATTCATTTCCTCAAGTTGATCAATTCATACGAATTCAAATTTCTTTTTACTTCCTGTGCGTTTCCTATTGGTCAATCGGTTCTGAAACGAAATCTAGTTGGTTCATCTAAAAGTAACAGGAAGTTGATAAATTTTCTATCAAATGAATTCACCAAAGGAAAGGAATTGATGCAATATTTTATCAACACTTCCATTGCATCGACAGTAATAACATAGACAAATCGTTTGTCTGAAGCCGGTTTTCCACTAGGCGGAATTTTGCGCGCGGAGCGGAATTTCTCTTTGTCTTGTGATTTCTCGGGTGGAACTATTAGAAAAGACAAAGAAAGATTCCGCTCCGCGCGCAAAATTCCGCCTAGTGGAAAACCGGCTTAATATGTACATGTAAATACGACAGCAAGACTTAGTAAAAAAAGTAAGTAAAAACTTTATTTGTCTACGCTAACCCCTACAGCAAGAGCTGATTTCCAAGAGGGGCGTAGGTTTAAAAATACAAACGTTACACTCAATTAGGATAAATATATATACAAGACTAACACATTACAATACAATTATACAATTATAATTACTCTACTATGGTCAAATAAATAAAATTTCATAAACTCATTATCTAACTGGCCAGGTGCCGCACACCCAAGTTAAATTGACTAAGAGAACATTTATTTCTTAGTCTATCTGGGAGGCCATTCCACAATTTTGCTCTTCTATAACTAAGACCTTTTTTAAGATATTCGGTCTTAGGTTTGGGCAGATAGAGATTTGTGGCATAACCTCGTAAGTTATAATGTTGAGACGAAGGCGTCTTTTGAAACATATCAATTAGTTGTTTGGGCGCTAGATCGTGGGTTATTTTGTACATGAGACTTGCTACAAATTGAGTTCTGCGTTCTTTCAATGTTTTCCAGTTTAGTTTATTTAAAGCAAGTTCAGATTGGCCGTGTTCGTTTTTACGACCCGTAATTACTCTAGCAGCCCTATTTTGTAATTTTTGGAGTTTTGCTCTAGCATACAGTAGCATTGAGCTTCATGCAGTAAGCATAAGGAATGTGTGCTTCACTAACCTTAATCGTTTTCGTTCAATGTTCTTGTACACTGTACATGTCTGTACAACTCAACAAGAGTTATCCAATGTTGTGTATTTATTGAATGCCGTGGCATAAATAAGTTTCTTATGTGAAGCATTTTATTTTCTGTCTATTTTTGGTTTGCTCGCGAAAAACATTTTAACATATTAAATACTGTATTCTATGAGAACACGAAATAACCGTACCATATTCCCAATCATAATATATACATTTACCTTTAGTTTCTCTCATATTTGGAGTCCCAACTATCAAGAGAGGAAAAGCAAGTTATGTTCTGAATACAATCCAGTCGTTAATACAAGGAACATCTGCTGAGGAGAAAAACGACTGTATAATCGTCGTATTTATTGCCGAAATTGAAGACAAAATATTTGTGAAAAGTCTTATCGAAGATCTTAAAGAAAGGTATTTGCTGCCCAACAACTATTTAGTCTATTACGTCGTAATATTTTATAACTATTGGCCAGTGTATCTCTAAAAGTGTATTTGAAATGTTCTGTTTTTGTGACTATTCTCATTGTTTATGTCTGTGCAAAAAGCCAGTCCAGAATGAAAACCTTAGGTTTTCAAGCGGAAAGTAAGACAAAAGATATTCTGGACAGCACCTATACCTGCAAATTCGCAGTGGTTGTGGAAGTTCATTCATTCTGTTGTGCATTATAAGAAAATGTTTTGGGTTTAAGCTCCGTAATGAATTTTATTTTTTAGGTTCGACAAAGAGATTCGTTCAGGATTAATAGAAGTTGTCGTCCCGCCAAAGGAATTTTATCCAGATTTAAATAACCTTCCAAAAGATATAACTTTCCATGATCCTCCATTGAGAGTAAAGTAAGTTCACACTTTAACTTAATCTTCTGCGAGTATACAGGTAGGTAGAAATAGATTAATTTACTAAATTAACTACTTACAAAACATTGTTCGAGCAGGGTGGCATTCACGATTGAGTTTCAAAACTGATGTCTGCTATTATTATTCATTGTGTTCATTGGTACTCAGTGGCTTGTATTACTTCGCGAAATACTTGGGTGTGGGTATCGAATACGCCAAAATATCCCCACCATTTTGATCCTGCCAAATTCATGCCTCCTCCATTAAATAATGCTTATTTATACTACAGACTTCCATGATTGAAAAATTATTATTACCACTTAGTTACTGAGTTAATTGGTTATCTTTCAAAGACGTTGGGGTCTGTGTGCGGGACCTGTACACTTCTCTTGCACTTTCTGGATGAAACTGTATGGTGTCTTTTTCTGAATGTACAGTATTTAGTTCCCGATAAAAATTCTAATTCTTGTAAACAAACATTTACTATAAATTGCTTCCATTTAATGTTCAGATGATTCTAATACTGTAGTCTTTGTTTCTTCCTACATGTAGATGGCGAACGAAACAAAATCTGGACTTTTCGTATCTCATGATGTACGCTCAACAAAGAGCTAGATTTTATGTCCAGGTAAGAAGAATCACGAGTCGAGTTACGAGGAGTTACACCCTAATTAACGACATGTATACTGTAAACAGTTAAGTTATATTATGTATCCTTAAACACTCGTTAATAATCCACGCAGACAGAGGAAATCGCTACTGCGTCGGTGGTTTCACTGTCTATCTAATAAAATATGTTATTTGCATAAACGTTAGCTTTGATTTTCTCAGCTTAGACAACGTATAGACTTAGTATACAATAATATTTTCATGAGGTGAAAGATGCATGGAATTCTCCAATCCACAAGGCGACAGCTGAGTTTTTATTGAATTAAATACAAAACAAATACATAATTGAGTTGCATGTACAATGTTTAAAATTACAGTAATGGAAATCCAACAAATATGTCCCGAAAAATGTTAAAAGAAGAGTTGATGGAATAATGGCATTCTTTTAACTCTCGTAAAAAAAATAGTTTCAGTGATTTTTGCACCCGCCATTTTGATTCGCACAAATTATGCATTTGAATTTGCAAAGGAACAAAACGTATAGTACAAAAAATAGGATTCGTAGATGGAAATTTCGAGTGAAATTTTTATACATTTATTAGACCTAACCAGAAGCAGTTGCGAAAAATGCAATTATAGGCCCTCTGGCAGGAATCAAACCTACGGCAATGGAACACGTTCCATTGCACGCTCAGCAAAATGATCATTTTTATTCCATATCACGTGATCATAATCAGCCAATTAAATGACCACAATTTAATAAGATGTTATATAATATATATTAGTATAATTACATAGGTGATTATTGAAAATTCTCCACGCTGATTGGTTGCCGTTGAGGTGATTATTACGCGATAATCACCTAAGCGATTTTCAAAATGGCGGCCGAAGCCGTTTTGTCAATTAAACGACGAAGAAATGTCTATTTTTTATTTTTTTTCTAAATAATCACCTATAAAATTATACTAAAACAATTATTCACCTCAGGCTCGGTGATTATCGTGAATAAAAACCTCGACTTCGTCTCGGTTTTTATTCACCGATAATCACCTCGCCTTCGGCGAATAATTGTTAAATATTCAAAATGGTCAATGGACCATTTGCATTATAGACTAAATTTTGATCTAGACAAAAATTTCATTACAGCTTGAAAGAGCATCACAAAATTAGTAATATTCCAAAGTTTCGTTGCGAAATGTTGTAAAATGCGGATAATATAGCCTTGCGAAATTTTCAATTTTCAGTCATTTTGTATTACAAACGGAAATTGATGCCCCAACACCCGATTGGGCTGTCAATTTCGCGTGCGCAATACAAAATGACTGAAAAACGGTAAACTTCGCATGGCTATATTATCCGCATTTTACAACATTTCAATGGAATATTACTAATTTTGTGATGCTCTTTCAAGCTGTGATAAAATTTTTGTCTAGATCAAAATTTAGTCTATATGCAAATGGTCAATTCAGTACGATTTTGCAGCTTCAAATTTCGTTTAACATGTTTGTATATTTTGTATACATGCAATACGGCATATCTTTGCCAGTTTTCCTATTCCTGCCCTTATATTAACTATGATGTGTAAACTTACTGTATGGGTAGCATTTCCTGGTAATTAATATTCATTTTTCGTTTTGGTTAGCTCGAAGATGATTTAATAGCAACACCTGGTTACGTGAGTACTATCCGAACATTTGCTTTGCAACAAACAGAAAATCGTTGGATGATGCTTGAATTTTCATCGTTGGGTTTTATAGGTACGTTTTTGCAAAAAATATTAAGGTGCCCCCCTATACAGTTCTAATATCCGCAAGTTACTTTAAGGCTCATTTACACGATACGACTAGTCTTATACGAATCTTATACTGGCGTATGTACTTGAATAAATGCGTGTTAAGGCCCTGTCACACTATTGCGTATATACTAGCGTATGCCAGCGTATGAAAAATATCACTCATACGCTGGAAAACGCTGACATACGCTAGGGGTAATATACGTTAGGCATAGGTTGTATAATATACAGGTTGTATAATATTAGGTTGTATAATATATAGGTTGTATAATATTAGGGGTAATATACGTTAGGCATACGTTAGGCATAGGTTGTATACGTTTCAAGCACGGTCGCATACGCTGGCATACGGCGAGACAGAAATACGGCGAGGCAAACATTTTGTGCGTATTCGGACGTATGCTTTATACGATAAGCATACTCTAGGCACACGCTGAATACGCTAGACGTACGCCAGGTCTACGGTACTCATACGCTGGCATTTCAAAGGACTTTTGTGCGTATGGAAATTATTTCATTAATTTTCATACGCTTCTCGTACGTTTCTCTCACACGCAATAGTGTGACAGGGCCTTAAACATGTCACATTTCAAATTTTGCCATAAACTGATGAACAGGAATAGTGGCGCCAGCAGTTGATGTTGAGTACTTTCAGATAGCTTGGATGAATTGTTTTTCAAAATTTCCAAACAAGCTTCATTTTTTTAATAATTAATATTCTAAAACATATGTTAAAATACAATAGAGTAAAGTTAATAAGTTATCTAGACAATTTTCGCTACATAATTCCTTGTTCTTAAAGAAATCCATCTTATGAAATAGTTTGAAAATTTAATATGATGTTGACCTTGTTGTATTTGACACTATTTGTTCAATTTGCAATATTTTACTAGAATTGCGAGACTTAGTTACGATTATAAAACAACTGTAGAGAGCCACCTTAATTATTATATACCAAAAGCGTGAAGTCATAATTGATTTCTACATGTTTAATGCAAATGGACTCATATAACGTTTAATTATACTCTGATCGTGGTTTCTAGTCAGTTTCAGTTATGCATGAGTATCAAGCATGTTTTCTGACTGGTCTGCCTCCCATTTAAAAATAGTCTAAACGCAAGATAACAAAATAACTCGCCAACGATGGGGCCTTAAGACCCGTTTACACTTGCAATTTTTGCTGCGATTCCTAAGGACGCGACTTTCTTCTGATGGATGAAAACGAGTAGATGAGTTCTGAATGTTCTGAGTACATGTTCCTTCATCTGAACATTCATAACTCATCCACTTCTTCACATCTATCAGAAGAAGAAAATGGCACTGGAAATCGCAGCAAAAATTGCAAGTATAAACGGCCTTTAGCTCGAAACGTGTAGTAATCAACACCCAAGGACATCACTATGTAAACCATAGTTTATTAAATAGTCTATCAAGGGTTGAATGCAACTTCGTGGGTTAAAATGTTTCATCGATTCATCCAGGTGACCAGCCTTTAATTTATTTTTATTTCATTGGTACAGGAAAGTTATTTCGAACTAGTGATTTACCAACGATTGTGGAGTTCTTCCTTATGTTTCACAAAGACAAGCCAGTTGATTGGCTGCTTGATCACATACTGTGGGTAAAAGTGTGCAATCCGGATAAAGATCAGGTACTGCACTGTTATACATAGACTTTAGCCCTTCAGTATTCAATACATTGAGCCCAGGCATCCGTGATGCCCTTTCTATTCATTCCTTTTTATCAAAACTCAAAAGACACTTATTTTCTTGTTTTTGATATTTTTATTGAACTTACAGGTTTTATTATTAGCATGACAAAATTACTGGATGCTGATTGGTCGAAAGGAGTACAATTATTTCATTAATTGTACTGCAGTACAATTAATGATTTTCTCAAAACAAACAAAATGGCGGAAAGGTATATTAACAAAATACAAATGTGAAATGAAATTGCCCTAGAGGAACTAGATGAAAATACGAACAAAAGCACCACATTTTGGTTGATAGTCTGGCAGGACTGGGCTTTGGCGAGAGAATATGATGTTGACATTGAGAAGTATCCAATTTTGTCATGCTAATAATAAACAAGTAATCATGCAATGTTGCTCGTACAATTAGGGATTAATAGTACTCGTGATGTTTGGAAATTTGCCAAATTGGACTCGCCCCGGCGGCTCGTCCAATTTTGGCAAAATTTCCAAACATCACTCGTACTATTAATCCCTAATTGTACTCGCCATCGCATGATTACCTATACTAATTTTCTTTCAATGATCTTTGTAAATTGCCGCTCATGATCACAATATTAATTGTATCATTAATTTTGTAATATATCTATAAACGTTTTACCATTCACTTATATAAGCCTCTGGCTTCTTGATGGCTTCCTCGCCAATCACCATACACTCTTATCTATGTCTATTATATTTTTTGTATTTTTATGTATAAGATGGCAAACTACTGTAAACAGTAATAAAGATGCCTAGTGGCATTTGTTGAGTCTTTGCACGTCATTTTCGTGGAGATATTCTAAATATTTGTATTGTCCATTACATACGTGGAATTGGCCAAACAAATAATAACATTGTCTATTTCAGGCTCACTGTAATCGAGAAAAAGCTCAGTTGCGAATTCGATTCAAACCTTCTCTATTTCAACATATTGGCAGGGAATCGTCATTACCTGGGAAAAAACAGAACTTAATTGTAAGTTTACGAACAATTTAACAAAACAGTCTTAAAGTATGTATTTGTGTTTTATACATTAGTTGACAAGGGCCCTTACAATTTCGTTGGCGATAGTGGGTGTCGTATGTCGGTGAATTGTCCTGTCGGCCTAATGTCTTGTCGGCCAAATGTCCTGTCGGCTAAATGTCTTGTCGGCCAAATGTCCTGTTGGCTAAATGTCTGTCGGTGAAAGGTCCTGTCGGTCAAACGTCTGTTGGTCTATTGTCTGTCGGCCAAATGTCTGTCGGCCAAACGTCCGCGCACCCTTACAGTCATAGACAAATTTGCAAGGCTAGTTGCCTACCTCCTCCACAGGGGTTTTGGGAAAGGCGGGGAAACGCCTGCTGTATAATATTTTCAAGATGGCGGAAACACATCACCGCTGTCGATAAAATTTTCGCTTTTTGAACGTTCTTCGTCGCTGCTGTCCGCCATGACTTTTGAAGAATACAACAAGGAGAGACAAAACTAAAACACATGTTTATATATCACAATGGATAATTTTCAGCCAGATTTTCCCGGAAAACCCAACTATCGACACTTAATCCCGAGAAACGAACATTATTCAGCAGGCCTTTCCCCGTATTTATCGCGCCGCCCGAAAATTTCCCCCCTAAATTCTCGCGCCCGCACGGAAACGCCTGTGGAGGAGGTAGGCTAGTTGCTACTGTTCTAGTTTGCAGAAGCACAAGCTAGATAACTAAGCTTTAGAATTATCTGCATGAGTGAATAACTCTTATAACTAATGCACCCTTTCGATAATTACGTCACAACTACACTGTTTTCAACTTAGGACCACCTTATATGGAAAGGATTTCAAGTTTTTTTCTCATGGGCTATGCACAGAGAAGCAGAACGTCCTTCTTCAACACATGCATCAAAAATAATTCTTTCTTTTGACCAATAAATGTGGAAATAAGCTTTAACACGAAAACGAGGCTGCAGGTCATGACCTGGAGCCTCGTTATCGTGTTAATGCTTATTTCAATATTTATTGATCAAAATCCAAATCTTTTTTCATGCATGCGTTGAGGAAGGATGTTCTGCTTCACTGTGCATAACCCATGAGAAAAAAACTTGAAATCCCTTCCATTTAAGGTGGTCCTAAGTTGAAAACAGTGTAGTTGTGACGTAATAGGCAATTCCAGCTTTTAGTTTATGCGTGCAGGGGTTGATGGGAAGTGAGGTATCACATAGCTTATTATGCTGAAAAAATAAAAATGGTGGCCGTGTAAACACGGAATGATAGCTTATACTTGTAAATATTGAAATATTTCGGTTGTTTCGGTAGTTTTTATTGAAATATTTCAGCAAATCAGCAATATTAATAACTTTCTGACCGAGAGTGAGGGCAGTACGGGAAAATATCCAACCGAGGTCTTGCTGTATTGACCGAGCGATAGCGAGGTCAATACAGCAAGACCGAGGTTGGATATTTTCCCGTACTGCCCGAACGGTTGAGGTCAGTAAGTTTTTTATTATATGGCATTGTACGTTTGTAAAAAAATGGGGAAAAAAGGTCACGCGAGGTCACAAAGGTCACAAAGTCCGAAACATTTGCAAAAAAGAACAATTGTAAAAAATGTTCTCAAGCTTGGTTAGTAAAACTACTCTACAGTACTTTTTATATAGAATACTAACACAGTTGGATAGTATTTCAAGAAAAATACGAGGTATTTCGTCATTTAATCAAAGACAAAGACAACAAATATGAAAACAATAAAATTAATAAACAGTATGGACAAGTACGTTTTTAGTTCGCTTCATCTCATAAATAGTCTCATTTTATCGAAAAAACCCAGAAATTTTCAGGAAAAAAATATAAATCTGTGGCTGCTTTAGTTGTATTTTTTATTTAGGATAGTGTCAAATTCCTCGGCTATCTGCAAAGAAGATTTGCAGCTCTTCACAAAGTCAAAACACAGCTATTCCTGACTTCTTTAATAGTTATAAACATTGTAAAATTTACCTTGTTATTTCGACTTTCGCTAACAAAAACATATTGAGAAAGTTCTTTAACCTTAACCGAGGTTCTCCTTTTCTTTAGTTTAGGTTTATTTTTCTTCGTTTTGAATAGTTTTGAAAGACTTTTAGACACTTTTTGCCGTTTGAAACTCGGCTCTTGTCGCAGGGCAATAAAAATTGCGTATTGCCCGTGGGCAATACGGGAAAATCCTGCCTCGTCAGCAGCCAATCAAATTGCGCGATTCATCAAAACAAATGCTGGCCATATAATAAGATACCATACTTCCCATCATCCCCTGCAGGCATAAACTAAAAGCTGGAATTGCCTATTATCGAAAGAGTGTATTCTAATGCTTAGTTACCTTTATGCTTCGGTAAGCTAGAACAATATATTGTAACCCCGCATGTGAGTTATCTAAAGCTGTGAATTGGGTAGCAAAGATGTAAACAATGTTAACTACCCAAATTTGTCTATTCGCAATTTATTTTCTGGCGTTCCTATACGATGAGGCAAGAATATTAATTTTGAAATCTCTCTTGCAGGACAAGGACTTCAAGAAAGCTCCATTGTTTCAAGCTCATCTTAATCCGAAGGGGTCAGCGATAACAACAATCAATGTCTACCAAACTCACACGATAGATAGAGCGTACACCGGTCAGAGTTTCTTTTGGGGTCATACACCACACAAAGGAGATGTAGTTCGGTTTAAATTTGAAGACGGCATTCTTCTTGAACAGTAAGTATTTTTAATAGTGTAATAAGGTTATAATGCAAATTTGTTTTGGAGTCATACACCACACAAAGGAGATGTAGTTCGGTTTAAATTTGAAGACGACATTCTTCTTGAACAGAAACTATTTTTGATAGCAACTGATTGAATAAGGTTGTAATGCATGTACAAATACCTGTACTACGATGTGTATTTTTTTTCTCTATCTTGACAGTAGGCTTACGTCATAACAAACCATTCCGATTGAAAGAGATAGGAATAGACACTTTTTGCCAACGCGCCTAGTTGTCTACAGTCACAAATGGTCCAGTTTACGACGGCAGAAATTGCCTCCCACTTTCATATACAGTACATGTACTGTATTATCGCGTATTATCTCAATTTCTAAAATAATTTTTCTTAGTTTTCGCATCAACACTGGCAATGTGGAACATCCTGGCGATATTTTCTCTAATGCATCTGTTGAACTTTTGACAACAGAAAATAAGTTACAAAGAGAGAAATGTAAGTACGAATAAAGTTTTAAGTATTACTGTAACAGGACTTGACAATGTAGACACACTCTCATTCTGAAGTCATTTTAAACATATAATCACTGCAAAAACGTTTGACTCAACTTTAATACAGTAATACTAATACAGTACTACTAATACCAATACAGTAATACTATAACACACTACTCATTCTTCATGCGTTTTATATTGCACACTGTATGAATAAATTTAAACTATAATTGTCATATATCGACCAAACAATGCACTTCCGAAGTTACTTGAGTGTATATGAGACATTAGGGCCATTTTAATATACGAGCGAAAATAAGCCGCGGCTTAAATAAGTCGCGGCTTAAATAAATAGCGGCGTAAATAAGTCGCGAACGATTCGTCTAAACATTACATTTGTGCGCAAGCCGCGGCTAAAATAAGCCCATAGTTGAAAGCTATGCGTAAATAAGCCGCGGCTTATTGCAAATTGACTGTTTATACGAGTTGTTCGCTTATTTAAGCCGCGGCTTATTTAGGCAGCGTCTTATTTTCGCTCCTATAAATGACTATTGGTACGAAGATGAGATTCAAAATGCATCACATTGCCAGTCTTGAGTTCAAGCTATTGTTTCAGTCAAATGTACTCAAACAAATTCGGAAAGTGTATGGTGCGAGTGCATAAATGTAACATGTATTCAATTCCAGTGGCGTGCTGGGTAGTAATTTTCTGGGGGGGCCAGTGGGCTTTCAACTAATATGCGCCCCTATATTGTAACGCTTGATAAACGAGTGTCGAAGGCACGAGCCGAGCGCCGCAGGTGCGAGGTTTTTCTAGGGGGGTCCGGGGGCATGCCCCATCGGAAAATTTTTGAATTTAGGGTCTCTGAAATGCCATTTCCTGGACTTTGGAGGGAAGGTTTGACAGAAATCTGATGGTCAGGAAACGGCATTATAACGTGTTGAAATTTGCAGTTTGGTTAGAATTTAGTAGTAGTACTTAAATTGGGCAATGCTAACTCAGTTCCAGCGATTAATCTAATCCCAATTCTATTCTCTACTGATTTGGTGATCTGAATACATTTACAACGTATACAGCTCTTTTATACAATAACACACGGATCCCATGCATATGCACTTTAAGATTACCTTGCTTGACTGCCAAAAGGGCGCGTTTCAGCATTATCTTATCACTTACATTACTCATGAGTCATGATGTTTCTTGCACAAACAACTAAATTGCGTACACAACTTACATTATCATATCTATCTAATTGCGCCGCTCTCGCGATTCGTGAAGCATAATACCTTCATAATATAAGGGCATAATACCAGCAAAAAAGGGCATAATTCCCGCGATCGCTTCGAAACCTGACCAATATTCCGGTAATGAGACATTGACACATTGTGTGTGATCACTGATCAGTTTCTATGTGAACGATTTTGTGTGAGCCGTGAAGTAGCAAATTAGCAAATTCGGTTAGACCAAATAGTCTGTAATTTAATATATCACTTTGTCGTCTATGCGCTTAGTCTCGATCTGTTTATAAGCCTATATAAATATATACTTCTTGACGGAAGTAACTATATTTTTTCAAATGCGTTTTTTCCCACCCACTTTCAAAATTCCGCACGGACGGCGCCCCCTTTTCATTTTTGCGCCGCCCGAGAATTGCCAGCTGGGGGGGGGGCATGCCCCCCCCCGGCGCCCCCTGCCAGCACGCCACTGTTCAATTCACCGAGTAATACATATGTATATTGTACAACAATCGTTGATGTTTATAGTGTTCCGTGAAACTCCTGCGTCTGATGTGGAAGCACAGAAAAACTTCGTAAAGGATGAATTTTTGCTCACGGATTATGTTCGTGTGGGGAAATTTGTAAACGGTCTTGCCGATGGTGCTGTACCAAGTACGATTGGTAAAGTAAGCGAGATTTTAATCAGAGTTAATGATCACACTGGACAAAATTGGGTGATAATTAGCGAGGTATGTTTGGCGGTTTTTACGTGTACACTGTACAGTTGAAATCCTGTTTACAAATTTTATATAAGACACTTTTCATATTTGCCATGTTTTGAAACTTGAAACAATGGTTCGGAGAGCTAGAGCAGATCACGAGAATTAGTAACATTTTAAAGAACATTCCAATTAATATCCACACACCCCTGATAGCCTGTGTACAGACTGTATTATGCTGTAATACAGTGGGTAGTGATTCTGATTGGTCACGACTGAATTTAATGGATTCTGATTGGCTCGATATAAATATCAACGACCGTTGGACTTTGATTTTCAAAATCGAAATAATATTTTCTTGGCACTTGATGTTAATTGTAAATTTTACTCTTTGCTTCAAACTATTAAATTTTCGATGCAAAAATGTTTCTAAGGTATTGCAGATTAATATGAATATCTAATTGAACAAATCACAAATGAAATGTAACGGTTGTTGCATTTAATTTGATTGGTCATATCATTTGGTCATATTGATTGGTCATTTCATATGGTTGGTCATAGTTAAACTCAGTTGATTCTGATTGGCTGAGTTCAAAGGTCAACAAAGTTCTGACTTTTCTGACTAACGTAAAAAATCACATCACGCTCAGGAATTGCCGTTATTTTCAACTCGTTAGTTGAACATTTATGTTCAATGAAAAGTCAGAATTTTGTTGACCTTTGAACTCCGCCAATCAGAATCTACTGAGTTTAACTATGACCAATCAGAATCAACTATCCAGATCTGGGTAACGCTGCTGGGGGTCGACAAGCAATGCCACGAATATCCACAGACTGTATTACAGCATAATACAGTCTGTACACGGGCTATCCTGTGGACGAATACTGTTATTTTAGATCCTTTCAGAAACGGTTTTTACCTATCCCCTTTTAAATTATTTAAATTTACCACAAACCCTGGGAAATGTCCAATTTTTCACGACCCTCGTGGAAAAACTGTACCTGTTGACGAGGTTCCATGGCAAGGAATCCCCTTCGGAAATCTTTCCATTTCTTTGCACGACACCACCCCCCCCCCCCCCCCCCCCTCCGAAAATTTCCATGTTAGGAAATCGTCAAACTTTTCCTGACCCCTTTTCAAGAAATTTTTCAATTTTGTTACAACCTCCTCGGAAATCGCGAACCTTCGAAAACGTGGAATTTTCTACTCCCTTGGAAAATTTCCACGGGGAGTGTAGATATTAATTTTTGTAGATATTAGAAATTAATACAGTAAATATTAATTTTTTCCAGAAGATCAAACATTCATAAAGATTCATAAAGATTTCATTTTCATTTTTGTAGATTCATATTGTGGCAAAGACGTAACATCAAGCCATTCTCTTAATCTCTCTCTCTCACACAATCTTAATTTATACATTGATATCCTTCATGGGAATCCAGTTGCGAAGTATATATGTTTTATCATGCACGTCGTCGCCATGGGAAAACACATCCTGCACACAACACCCTTAGTGTACCTGAAATACAAGGAAAGATTTGTCTTCACACCCATGAAAATATTGTTATGGACGTCGAGTACAGGAACAGTGAACGCTGTATCGGAATCAACACCTAAAAATATTGATAAATAACATAACAGAAAGCCCCAGTGCTTAACTTCGATTTTTACTTTGAACAAGACGCTCTATTGCTGGGTGTATGAAATCGACGAGGGAGCGCTGCCTCAAAAGCCTTGGCTTAATAATTTACAAAGACACTAATTATAAGTTCGTCTGACATTCTTTTGTTTTCCCCGTCAAGATAGTTGAAGTACACTACCAATTGTATTGGGTTATTAAACTTATTCGAAAATAATTACCGGGTATAACAGGTTATTATTCGAAAATTAAAACTGCGTGTTCTTCGTTATCGCACGAGAATAACAACTTGGTACTTTAATTAATACTCTGCATGACTCTGTATTTAGTACGTTAGCTTTGTAATTTACAGAATCTTTGTATTTCTGTGCATCGTGAGATTACTATCATTTTATTTCAATTCATCGTATTTTACTGATTAATAATGTACGACTAACCATTTACTTCCTAGCTAGAGAGTAAAGTGTCAAAATGGAAATTAGGGCTAAAGTACTTAAATACTTAAAGAATATTTTTATTGAAGATGGAGAATCCAATAGATGTCCAATTTAAAAATATCAAGATGTCCAATTTAAAAATTGTATATGTTGCTGGAGAGAAATGAATGAATTTGTCATGAAGACTCTGGAGTGCAAAATCTTCGTTATTTGCTCAGCTATAATAATGTCCTGCATGGGAGGTGCCATTTTAATTTTTTTGTTAGAACTGAGAAGTGGGCAACAAGCATGGTCAGTATATGACGACAATATATATATATGGCCGGGTATTCGATCGTACCGATCCCTGGCAATAATGATTTACTACGTTGGTAAAAATTAAATAGTAGAAATAGAAAGTTGAACGAAGGTAAGTTCTTCACGAAATGCGTTTTCAGTGTGATTATATTTGCCTTGAAATAAAAAGAATTTAGAAATTACAACTGTCAATTTTATAAACAAATGGAATTAAAACATACATAGTCAGTAGTAACATAACAATTAACAAATTAGACAGACTATAGACTATTGTAGCAACCACGGAGCTGAAATTTCAGAAAAGATCTCTGTAACTATAGGCTACTTGGGCAGTATGGTGAGAAATGTTTGACAACTTACTCGACTTTAGTTCAACGTACGTTTATTTACTTTCATTCCTGTTTTGAAAAACATGTATACTAGTTATATATACCGTAAATCCATGGCCACCATTTAGCCTCCCGAAAGATAGAAAATTGGTACAGTCAAGAGTAGGTTTTCTTCTAATTCAAATACGAAATTTAAAACCAACAAAATATGTGGAAATACCCATAATACGCCTACACTCTAAAAACACTCTGGTTAAATTCAACCAGGAATTGGGTTAATAATCCACCTAACACATTCTGGTTAAATTTAACCCATTTCCTGGTTAAAAATTATCAATTCAACAAAAATTTGGTACACTTTTTTTGACTTTTAACCAGGAAAATGGTTAATTTTTTTTAACCAGACTTGTGTAGGTGGATTTTTAACCCCGTACTGGTTGAATTAACCCAAATTTAACCAGAGTGTTTTTAGAGTGTACACCTACGTGGAGAAGGTACCAAAGGCGAATATTTAAAGCAACCATCGGAGTTCATATTTGGCAAGTGTTTGTAGATGAAGAAAAGACTAACGCACGCTGGCAAACGCATTGTGGTCGAACTACACCGTTTTCATGATGACTGATGACGGTGACAAGAACCTTGCTGCTAGTGGAATAGACGCGACTGGTGCTCTTGCAATTCTTAACATTGGTAGTTTTAACACGTTTGTGGTCAATGTTCTTCACTATTCCAAAGGAAGCAACTCGTTCACTTACAATAATACATTCCAAAGTAGCCACTTCAAACCAAAGTTGAATCAATATTTCTTGGACCGGAAGACAAACTTGAACTACTCGATCAGCCAGGGGAATGGCATTTTTAACAAAAGCACTAAAACACTTTGTATGGACAAATGATGGAAAGAGTCCTAAAAAAGGAAGTTCGCGCGGGTACCATGGGTACTGGTGACAGATTTATACGTAGTACCGTCCGGTTTAATGGCGCAAGTTTGCCACCTGATGAGCGGACGTCCGAATAACGGAGCCGAGTTAAATCATTTCCATCATGCACCAATGCTGGGGTCACATACAAAACGATAGTAGCCACGTTCAAACACAAACCAAGTCACAAACAAATACATTGCTTACTCAGAACTGGATCCATGACAGCCCTAAATTAATACGCTTTACGTTTTGATGGACAACCACCCAGAGTTGGTAGTCATGGAACGATGTCGAGAAATCTGAAATGTAGCGATGCATACTCATGGTCGTCAAAGGTGATTACCATATAATATCCTGAGTAATCTTGCACTTGACAAATACAGTGATACTGGTTGGATACCAGGTAAAGCAACCACCCCTGTGCCTTCCAACCTGTCCAGTGTTAAATCCAACCGTGATGTGGCTATATAGGCTATAGCGCAAGCAGACATATATCGTGTGTATTATCGTCGACAGTGATTTACAAAGGTGATCTCTGGAGCTTTAGAGTTTAGTATTAAAATTTAAATTCATATGAAAATAATGAAATACACACTGGATCTGACGTAGTATCTCACGTTCATGAAAATACGGATAAAATAATTGAAAAGTAAAATCTAAATCAATTAAGGTCCTGTTCGTTGTTTATGATTTTACTTCCTATCCGCGGAATAGAACATTTCGCTATATTAATTATAAACCTTGCTCTCTCATGCCCTATAAAACAAACAACTCTGTTTGTATAACTCCCTATTTGAAAGAAAAATACCTCCCCCCCCCCCCCCCCTTCAGTGAAACTTCCTCAAAAAAGGCACTTACACCGGCAGGCCAGGTTTCGTTTCTGGTTTCAATTAATTTACGGTTACATGTATTTAATTTCAAGATGGCCTTTTCTTTTGCATCTGTTTCTTTTTATACCTTCACATAGATCTTGCTGGCTCTAATGGCCTTCCATTCTCGTATATAGTAATATTGATATCGGCTTCGATGATGCAGTATTGATATGGACGAAAAGTTGTTTATGATAAGATGTTCAACACTCGAATATTGTCAAGAAGGCATAGTTGACAGTTGCATTAAACCCTAATTAGCACGTGTGTTCTACTTTGCAATGCAAATCAATCAGATGAAATGTTAGTCGGAAAAAAAGCAGCTGCATTTGAGTCGTATGCATATATCAAATAAGATAGGCGTTGATGCATAAAGAATACCGTTGTATTTTTCTAAATCATACTGAGACCAACATGAGTGATGATCTAAAAGATGTTAAAATTATTCTTGCACACGAAGAAGGCGCCTATCAACCATGCGTATTGTCTGGAATACTGGAAATATGTCCAAGCAAATCAATCCTGATAAACGAAATTCAAGTGAAGCTTAATGGGCAAGCTTATATTTCTTTAGCAAGCACCGAACGTCGTGAAGATTTCATTGACATAGTTCAAACTATATTTCCAACCTCTGATAAACCAATCAGCGAGCAGGTCGAAACAACACTACAAGAGAACGTTCGTTACACACTACCGTTCAGCTTTCAACTCATGAATCATTTACCGTCTTCGTTTGAATTAAATTCATCGTATTCCGGAATAACAGCTTATGTTCGATATTACATCGAGAGCACCGTTATTCGACCGAAAAATGCTTTGGCACATAGATGTCGAAGAGATTTTAAATTCCGCCAAACTCAAGATTTGGCCAAGATTCCGGGATACTCGATGCCGAAGATGTATCAGAAGTCCTATCGTGGCGGGGTGTTCGGTTTGGCCTCGGTACATCTGACGTGCGAATTAGATCGCGTCGCGTACTACCTCGGTGAAACAGTATCCCTCAATATTACTGTTGACAATAGCGCAAGAAAAGTTCAAACAAAATTTGTTATAGCGCAGCTTGTGCAGGATGTAAGTCTTATCGAGAACGAAAACGATCACCGCAGCTTGCATAAATGTTCGACTATAAAAGTCCTGCAGAGTCTTATAGTGGCAGATAGCGTCCAGATGAAGCAGTGCGTGACACTATCAAATGTACAGTTAGATATACAACCCGCTACTGACTTGATTCCAACTGTGGAAACAAGGAAAAGCATCATGTTTAACTATGTTGTAGTCGTAAAAGTAATCATTGATGAAAAATCCAAACTTTCCTTAAAAATCCCTATCATTGTCGCTCAGAGAAACAGTTTGCTGTCCTACTGAACATCAGGTGATCAGGGGTGTAATATAATATAGTGAACGGACAAATTGAACTTCCATTATTACTAACAATGTTCTCTTTAAACCTTATGGGGGAAATTATGCATATAAAACACAAGGCGCTATTAATATTGCTAAGTTGTTTTGTGCTATTACAGTAGTAGGAAAAATTTCAATAAAATTTAATATGACATGTTTTCCCAATTTATTATCATTATTTTTACTTAAATCACGTAGTTATAAAATTATCCATAATTATAAAATCTGCAAGACTACATAGTCTTTTCTGTTTTCCGATTATCTCTACATTCAATTGATCGTTTCATAGTATAGGTTAATTTAGTTTCATGTTGGCGATTTCAAACAAGAACAACTGTCGCGTTCACTCGCCATCTATATCAGCTGAACTGACTTCCGGTTGGCGTACGTGTCGGTGCTGTCGAAAACGTCGCGTTGTCAAGAACTGTCGTGATTGACACTAGATGTGCTTACGTCACGCAATTTTCAATCCATCTAAACATTAGGTTTACACAATGCAATATGGGATACATGTGGGTCAAATTTTCATTGTTTGACAGTGCCATGACGTAATGACATCTACAGTAAAGTCAATTAGCCTTTTTCACGATGACGAATATCCGCCATTTTTGGGTGGCATCCAATTCTCGTTAACCAATGCAGACAATTAAAACAATGTGAAAAGCAATTTTTCAAAATAAACTAACCATTTACAAAGCAAATTTACCATCATTTGTCAAAAAATTATAAAAAGTCGCTGTTATGTGGACTTATCTCGCAGACTTCGGCTGAAATGCCACCCAAAAATGGCGGCGTGAGAAAGGCTAATTGTATCCGTCTTCGTAGATGTTAATACGGCCCGTTTCCAATTTTTGCTGCGAGTTTAGGTGCGATTTTGTTCTGATAGACGTGAACGAGTTATGAATGTTCAGATGAGTATATATTTATTTATTTTATTTATTTATAAACTTTGCCGTTTACAAAATTTACACTAGTACAGAACGGCACAGGAACGTCAACACAGCGTAGGCCAATTACGTTGACGACCTGGTTTAACAAGTACAAAACACATAATGCACAGCTTAACACACAAGTATAAAACAGCACAGTAACATTTGCACAATATAAATAACATATATAAACAGTGAGTAATGTATATAGGTTCAAACGAAACTAACTAATAACAGCAAACCTTTGTAGTTAGTAAGTGTCTTGCTTGGTGGCATTTCAAACATACAGTTTTCCATGACTGTGGCTTATCTAAGTCAAAGATTGTTCCGGTGGCTCTCATGTAGTAGTTGAGCAACATGTTCTTGAAACTTGTGAACGAAACGTCCGGTTCGCGTAAAGAGTATTCCATATCCTTTGCAACTGTCACCACATAACTGTTCTGCTGGCATAATGTTTTGGTTTTAGGTACGTGATATGTGATGAAAGAATCACTAACCGTCCGTAAACTCGTCGTTAGATTAACTTTGTTAGCTTGTTCGGGCATGATATCGAGGTCAGTTATTGTAAAACCACGTGTACACTTGAACAAAAATAAAACGTCCAGATATTCATGCCAATAACTCAGAGGTAACATTTTCAAAGTAACTAGTCTTGATTTGTATGTGATGTCACTTTTGAAGGGCAATGCGAGGATGTATTTGGTTGTCCTTCTTTGAACTTTTTCCAGTTCGCCACACATACTGACGTTTTGTGGGCTCCATACTTGGGATGCGTAGGCGAGGTGAGATCTGACAAGTGCCAGATATATACTGCGTTGAGTGGCCACATCTCTAACTTGAACAGTAGAACGTTTTAGCATTCCAAGCATGCGGTTTGCTTTGGTGATCTGTTCGTGAATATGATAGGACCATGTGAGGTCTGAGGAAACTGTCACTCCAAGATCTTTCTGTTGGGAAACATGCTGCAGAGGACGACCATTATATATACTCAGAACAGTCATAACTCATCTACTCGTTCACATGCATCAGAAGAAAATCACATCTAAAATCGCAGCAAAAATTGCAAGTGTAAACAGGCCTTTAGAAAGATATGGTAAATCTAGTACGCGGACGTGACGGAAAGCACACTCTAAATTCACAGTTTCAGCTGTAACACAAACACCTGACATCATTATGACAGGAAGTATTTTGGTGTTGACATATGAAAATGATGTTGCCACGCATGATAGTGACCTCTGTAGAAATCTCCAAATCTACAAGAACAAAATTACAATTAAATGCGTCGTCATTTTTGAATTGCTACCACATTTTTTAATGGAATTAACACACAACAAACAAACAAACAAACAAACAAACAAACAAACAAACAAACAAACAAACAAACAAACAAACAAACAAACAAACAAACAAACAAACAAACAAACAAACAAACAAACAAAACTTCCTAATTAAAGGCCTGTTCAAACGGACCATAGAAGAAACGGACCTAACAATGTTGACCCAACATCATGCAACAATGTTGAAATACTTGGTATAACTGCTTATTTTTCCAAATCTTTTGGATAAAACCATAAGATTTATAGAAATTGAAAATCTGTACTTTAAAATATTGTGTAAAAAATAGACAGTATACAAAACTATTTTTGAGTATTGTTGGATGGTGTTGGGCCAGCAATGTTGGGTCCAACAAGCATTAAAAGCAAAGCTTGCAGCTAATCTCATAGCTCTTCATTTTTTTCAGATTTTCAAATTGATTTAGAAATTGAAATTAATTTTATTTTTAAACATTGGGATAGAAAGCAATTAACCAACAATAATTTCTATGTTATTTAAATATATTTCTGTGATGAAACATAATTTCCCCAGAGGGTTAGTAGTTATGTAGTTCTCCGAACTCCTTCGAAGACTGATACGAACAATACTAGTGCAGATTGCGGCGCTAGCAGTCTGGGTACCACGAATATAAATCAAGCCAATGCATGCGCATTTATCCTCATGTCAGTAGCTGGGTAGGGAACGACTTGTCAATCAGGAAGACTTCACTAGTGACTAGGTCCTTCCATACACGGTGGGGGTGGTATTGTTCGTATCAGTCTTGATAGGAGTTCGGAGAACTACATCTCCCCTTCAGGTAAGAACCTAACCCTCCGGGGAAATTACATTTCTCCTTCTCCGACTGATACTCATAATCCTAGTGCAGACGTTTAGTAGCTACTGGCATGCTGAAATACTGTACAGGAACTGAAGTACACCAAACAACTCTACAAAACAGAAATTAAGTTAAGAACAGCATGCACAAAAGCAGTCCGATCAGGACGTTTGTGTAGTGTTTTACCAACACTAGTGGCAGAACTCCAATCTCCTGCTTCCACTATTAGGTTCAACGACAGCCCTGCGGCAGCTGAAGCACTCCTTGTAGAGTGTCCCATAAAATCTAATGCTATACCAGCCAAATGGATTGTTTGTGTCAGCCAACGTGTTACGTATCTGGTTTAAGACACTGTCATGGGGGGCAATGTAAGACACTAAAAGCTTCCGAGCCTTCCAAGTGTTCCAAGTACGGAGGGTATAAGCTCTTAAAACCCTCACTACACAGATAGTGTTGTCTTGTGGAAATGAAGGGAGGTAGAACTTCCTCGGCGGGAGACCAGGTCTGGAGTTTTTCATGCTCTGGAATCGTAAATTCCCAGGCATCCCCTTTAACCACCCACGCATGGTACACCACTCAGCCCAAGCTCTCCAAGGGCCAGCATATCTCTTCTTAGTGGACTCACTCCATGACGATCTCGATAACGTCTGGCGAAAATCCTGCTGTTTCAAAACATCTGCGGATAATGGCCATACCGCCAGGTTGAGGGTTGCCCACAGAGGATGGTGGGCCTGGAGGTCGAATGGGAGGTATAATAGAGACCTCGACGTTGGAAGTAGGCTCAGATTCCAGCCGTTGTGTTCTCGCCACTCGCAAGTGGGCGAGAACACAACGGCTGGAATCTGAGCCTACGTTGGAAGCTGCAGGGGGTAATCCACCAACATCTGTGCTAACTGTGGTTACAAGGGCACGTTGGGCCAGTTCGGTGCTATCACCAGGGCTGATGCTCTCTCGTCTCGGATCTTCTTCACTACCCGAAGAAGAAGGTTCACAAAAGGGTGTATGAAACTCTTCCACCTGCTCCAATCTTGGAGAAAAGCGTAGACTGCTATTGCCTCCGGATCTGGAAATCTGGAGACATATCTCTCCACCTGGTGGGTTAGCTATGATGCAAACAGATCGACCTCCAGGAGATAAAAACGGTCCACTATCTTCCGAAATATCTTGGAGTCCAATGTCCATTCCACCCTGGGTTGAATTGACGGGACGCTGTGTCGGCATCGACATTGCCGGCGTATTCCAGGAATATATGTCACCCAAGATCTGATCTGGAGGGTTCCAGAGCTCCAGTGTTATTGCTGACAGAGACGGTGAGTGTGTGCCCCCCTGTTGATATATGCCACCGCTGTGGTGTTGTTGATGCGTAGGTGGATATCAGCCGGTGGATATCAGCCCTGGATTGCAAGATATGCTGCTTTGAGCTCCGACGTATTGATATGTTGCTGTCACTCCTCTGGGCACCAGCGTCCTCCGATGGAGGTGGGTGTTGTCTGCAGTTGCCCCCCCCCCCCGCCCAATAGGGATAGATCGGTGTTGGATGGCAAAATCGAATGGTGGGCACCGGAGGTAATGAGTATAGGTGCTCCCAGGACAGCCACCACTCCAGATCCCTCAAAGCCTCTCGTGACAGGTCTAGGAACTGTTTCGATCCCTGGCAATCATATCTTAGGGTCGCAGCTGAATGAACCCTCTGAAGTGCTCTGTAATGCAGAGGAGCCAAACAAATGCCATTCTGAGCTGCATGGCTCATGCGTCCCAGGAGTGCTGCTAACTCATGTAGTGTACTCTCGCCTTTGGTACGCTGGAGTGCTCCCTGTTGGATGAGATCCAGCTTCTCTGTCGGCAGGGACGGGGACATTGTAAAAGTGCTGAAGCATCGTTCCCAAGACGATATGCTGCTGAGATGGGTACTGAGAACATTTAATCAGGTTGATGAGGAAACCCAGTCCCACGAGAAGGCCCACAACCTTCCTGAAGATAGATTGTAGAACACTGGGATCCTGATGTAAGAGAAGAATGTCGTCTAGGTAGATGACAATTCGTATTCCTAAACTCCAGATATGGGCATAACTGGAGTCATTAGTCTGGTGAAGGCTGGAGGGGATGATGTCAGACCGAATGGGAGAAATTGGAACTCGGATGTCCTTGCGTTGAACACAAAGCGTAGGAATCTGCGGTACTCTGGGTGAACTGGAACTGAATAATACGCGTCCTTGAGATCGAGATTCATCAGGTAATTGTTCGGTTGTAACAAAGAACAAACTACTGGAAGACCCTTCATGTTGAAGGACCATTCTTCGACAAATCTGTTCAAGGATTTCAGGTTGATAATCATTCAATATTCTCCCTTGGACTGGACTTTCTCCACTAGGAATAGGGAGGAAATGAATTGACTCTCGGCTGGTTGAACCGCCTTGATTGCTGCCTTCTTGAGACGTGTCTGGATAGCAGTGTCCATGCGCTTCGTTTGAATGCTGGACCTGGTTGTTGTGACTGAGATGGGGACGTAAAAGGAATTTTGTAACTGTCTGAAGAACCCAATTGTCCTGGGTAATAGTTTTCCAATTGTCTAAAAAATGAACTAAACGGCCAGAAGGGGTATTTACACAATGGATATGTCTTAAGACTGGAAACGGATAGTCATAACTGATTGAATCCATGGGATGCTGACTGGTTTCGAGGGGCGTGGACGCTTAGCCTGGGTATGGTTAAATCGAGAACGCGACCATCCTCGTTTGGTTGGTTGTCGTGACTCGGCACGGAAGCCTGGAATTTTTTAATGGAATTTTTCTGGGAACAGATGCTTGTCGGTTGGAATCCCTTACTTTAAAATATACTTAAGAAATTCAAAAAAAAAAAAAAAAATCACTAAAGCGTCTCTGGCGCCAATTGTTTAGCCTAACATGTGCATTCCCTAACATAACCAGTGCATCCTCAAGGTAGTTCTTGATAGAGTCAGGGTCCGGGCCATCTCCCTCATCTCCAGGACCATCCAAGGCCATTAGGGCCACTAACAAAGGGCGGGCCACCATAACAAAGGGAGTTTGTTGATCAGTCAAACCCTCATCAAGTTCATTTTTCAAATGGCCATGATTATTCCTTCATGCCAGCCTTTAATTTAGGGGCTATCAAAAGGAAGTCGGTATCCTTTATGGTGAGTTATGATTGGGCTAGTTCGAGCCACTTTTCTCTTGAGATGGCAGTTGAAAATGCTGAATCGGGAAAGCTCTAATGAGACCATTATTATTATTATTATTATTATTATTATTATTATTATTAAAACTTTATTTAAAGAAGGTTAATTTACAAGGAAATATGCAAGTTTAGCTTTCGCCAATCTTCCACTGGACCTTCTAAAATTAACTATATAATTAAATATATTTACATACGCACCCCGGTTGTATTGTGATATTGCATAACAATATTATCATATACAGTTAGGAAACACTACGTTTATTCAACCTACCTCTTTGAAAACCGAGATGTTTCAGACACTTTATTTTCATCCGTCGTAGTTCTTTCATTATCTGAGTAGTTGTTAGGCTCATCTGGTATTAAAAACTTTGCAAGCTGAACCTCAGTATCGCTCAATCCTGCGTGAGATATCCTAGCATAGCCTTGTCTTATCAGTCCGTTATACATGATGTACTCACACCACCGGTCCCCGTCACTGGGATCTATATCCTGCAGGAAGATAGGGAAACACTCCATAACGTTTCTAATACTAATAATATTATTCATAGCTTCCATGCCTGACCATTCGATTGAAATTCAGACTCATTATTTATCGAGCAATAAATAGACAGATTTAGATCGAGGACGCGGACGTCAAAGACGACGTGAAAATGGCGTCAAAATGGCGTGGCATATCCATACATGGATATGCCATTTTTACGTCGTCTTTGACGTCCGCGTCCTCGATCCAAATCTGTCTAATAATGTAGAATGAGTCAGATTTGCCGCATAATCAGCCCACCAATATATAAGGTCATTTGCTATGCAAAATTTATAATAAATAATGCGCTTTTCTTGATTATATATACAACGAAATGGGGTATAAACCGACAAACACTCTGAAGCCATAGTACTTATGTTGGCCCTGACGTCATCAAAGCAATATGATAGCTGACAGAAAAGCAATTATCCGCAGACGTAAGAGCCCTCCTTAGAACAAAGGTGCAAGCAACTCGTTAAGGCATAAGGTGCTGACCATTGAAGATCTTGTATATATACAATATATTCAAATCTTCTGGGCGAGCCTTTATTTCATTCAGTACGTGCTTTTATCGAAGGACATCCCTATTTGTTTGTGCAGATAAAGTTTTTGTTGGATTTGACGACAGCCAGCTACAATCTGAAATCGCGAAATTTGGCGTGAAATCTACCAAAAAAAACTTTATATTCTACGCCGAAGCCAACGCTGGACACTCAAAGTCTGTGTTTGATTGTGTGTTTGTCTTTTGGCTAGCCAAAAATGACAACGCAAAATTTATAATAAACTGTATGTGGCAAATGTGGGCAAATTGGCTATTCACTTCATGGTCACTTTGAATCAGTATAGTAAACAAGTAGTGTACTCCGTACCTTTCTTCTACCATTGTTAAGTAATGCATGATAATCACGACTACCAGGAGCCGAGGTGACATAGCCCAAGAATACAACTGGATTATTACTGAAACGGAACAAAACCAAAAATTATTGTATCAGAAAGAAGAAGGAGAAAAAGATTGAATCCCAGTCGACAAAACATGGATATGTATACTGTAGGAAGGGGAAAATAAAATAGTCGAGTTGACACCGATTAAAAAATTAAGAATGACAGCTAAAATGTGGAGAAATTTACGAAAAATTAGGGGGAAATGGAACGAACAGAGGTGGTTAAACGCAGAATAAGATGGAAAAATATGTTGTCCGAAAAATGTTTTTGATATTGCGCTTCGTTTGTCTTACGGTCTAACGTAATTTTGGCTGATCAGTGAATTAATTATCCTTATCAGGGCTGGAATGTGCTTTGTAAAATCTGCAAAAGCAATAGTGCAACATCAGGTCTTTGACAAACCTACAAATACATGCTGTATTTCAAATTGGCCGGACATTTTATCTGCAGCAGTTAACTGTTCACTTGAATATACAATATATACCAGGTATAGAGTGCACGAAAGTTCCAAACTTGTACTTCCGACATCTACATACGACGATTGAGGCAAGACAGTTTAAATTATACCTCACCTCTCATCCATGATTCGAGCCAGCTCCTGAGCTTGTAGTTTACGATCCAGATCATCCCTAAATCCAATACGTATATGAGCTGCAGCATTTTGTCCAGTTTACCAGTAATATTTTATTATATTTGCATGGATATACAGGCATGTACACATGTATACTGATTAATTTATACTTTTAGATAAATTGCTCCACAATTTATTAATATTACTGAGGGCACCAAACATTTTTTATTGTATTGTTTTTTGACTTACTCACCTGCAAAGTGTGTGAGTCAAATAACAAAAAATGAAAATCATATTTTGTATACGAGTTGAATGCGTTGGTGCATGCATGCAAAGAGAATTTATAGATATTTTCTTTGCGACCGCCACCAAACTGCTATCCTGTACTAAAGCACGTTAGATACATGAGAATAACAGCCACTGTCGTTAGATACATGAGAACTGAACAGCCGCTGTTCTATTAAATTTGGTATTATCAACTGGAGTAAAGTCAGCTTAGCTCACCCATCATTCCCCATATGTACCACGACAAAATCCACCAATCGACCATGAATATTAACAGTCGCACTGAGTGCGGGAGCTAGCTCTCCTGAAATACAAAACAATCTACAATTACCTGTGAGTAGAGTATCACTCAGTGTATACCACACAACTATTTCCACTGATATTTTAAAGTAGTAGTGGCTACAGTACGAACTTCCCGAGGAAGGACCTTCGCTCGAAACGTCGAAGTTCTCCTTATATTTTTCAGGTAGTTGCATCCCTACCAACGAAAGCTTTGTTAATAATTAAGCAAAGTATAAGAAAAACGCTCGTTGATACCATGATGGAAATGGTGCCATATTTTGCAATGTGGTTTACGTTTTTTCTCTACAGTTGTTGGTTTATTTTTATCACGTGATCGCTTTTGTACTCACTACAGTCACTAACATAAAGTACGTGCGTTTTCCCGACCCACGCCCCTAACTTCCAGACGAAGGACCTTCGCACGAAACCCCGATGTTTGTTTTAATTTTTCAGTTGCAGTTGCATCATACACACAAGTTCGCAGCTTGCTTATTAAAATGTTCATCATTTCTTGGATTGTTGGCATAATTTATAGTGGTGGATAAGAATGCGCTCTTCTCCTCTCTTCTATCAGATGTGCCACGATCTGCCTGACGTTTCATTTGCAATGCACAGTCACAACATCACCTACCTATCACTGGAGATCATATACCTTGCGAGTAAATAACCATCGTTTGCGTAGAAGACAACTGAACGGTATATTTAAAGAAGATATATACATACTTTACCTTCAGGAGAAGGTAGCAAATGGTGAGACGATTCCACAATGGGATATTTTGATAATAGTAAAGCACTAAAACATAAAAAAGTTGAAGTTAAAAGCAATGCAACAGGACATGCATGCGTTTCATAAAGTACAGGTGTTGTGCTGGTTTCATACTTATGTGCAGTATTTTATAAACGTAGTCCGGAATTTCAAAAGTGGCAACCTTTGGAAAATGACAATTCTGATATGATCGTGGCAAACGTTTTTATCTGCTGTTGTAATAGTATCAACATGCAGAATGCAGAAGAAATGTTTAGATCTACCCCCACGTATGATCTCTGGTTGAAGGTCCAAAATCCGAGTACATCCCCAGCCTTTCTGCCAGCCACATAGTGAGATCATTGTTTCCAAGATACGGCCGTGAACAGTCACTTTCAAGCAGGCCTATTACGTCAGCTCCTAAACATATAACAAAACAACATACATCCTTGCGGATATAAGTGATTTCCTTACACGTTACTATACAACAACGACAACAAAGCAACAAACTTATACCACTACTGTATGCCACGCACACACGCGGGTCAAATGAAGCTATATACAACAATGGCACTAACCAGTTTCGTTCAACAAAACAGCGGCTCTTTCATAACTAGGCCAACCCTGATTGTCATATCCAAAGTGGACTGTCCAGACTGCTGCTGAGAATTTCTTTTCATGACTCTGCTTAACCAATATGTAAAAATAAATATCAAAGTGTATCTGATGTTCGCAAAGTGCGACTTGTATTTATTTTTATGTATACATGGAGGTAACCATGCAACGCTTTTTATAACTTTTAGCCTGTTCTTCCAGGTTTGAATAGCTATAGCTCCACAAAATTCTTAATTCAATTTACCCTGCATGTGTAGCAGCTGGTTTTTTGGGGCAGGACTTGCGGGCAGGAAAATTACCCAGGCTAAATTCAACTAAGGTTTGACGTTTTGTAGCGCACATTTTGAATTTTGTCCCTTATATAGGTAGCGCCGCTCTATGGCTCCCTCACTTCTTCAGGCATGCTTCAGTTTATTGGAAAATGTACAATATTTATATTACTTTGTTTAGGAATATAGCCGGGTGCCTATCCCACCCTTGCAGGCCTTGCTTACATAAAAACACGCCCAGTCCTGTCATGACCCACTCAGAACATGTTAGTCCAACATGGACAATGCAAATGACACTGTCATGATTCTGGATTGCCATGGTCCAACATCGACATTGTTGGAGTTTGATCTTACATCTTCCAATAATGTTGCGTCCAACTGTTGGACGCAACGTTATTGGAAGATGTAAGATCAGGTTTAATTTATTCAAATTTAATTTCATGCAACACCGTCCAACACGATTTTCAGGACCTCACAGAGGGCAAATGGGGCAAGCATGTTCAATGAAGAGAACTATGTAAAATAACAGGTAATTACTTACCTGACTAGGAGTATTGTATCTCATGTTATTGTAACGCACTAACATTGCAGAGCATCCACAGGTTAATATGAACAACAAACCTAAAACAGATTTGTGAAATTATCTGATGAATAAAGTTGATGGTCTCTATATATTATGGTACATGTTATATTGATATACGTTTCCTATAATAACAGACGAAATTAACGGGGTTTTTTACAAACGAAACTTAAGTAATTAAAATTATCCTATATCTGGAAGCTATTTTACAAGACTTTCAACTACGAATGAAATGGATTCGAACCATTCTCAAGATTTTCAATTATACTTGAAGAAATAAATTTAATTCTCCTTAGACATTGCCTAATTGTGCCATTCCCCTCAAAATAAATGTATTACCTAAAATATTTACAAATACGTCTTATTGTTATAATTGTATATAATTTCACAGTACATGATGCAAGTATATATACTGTATAATACAAAGGCTTGAAAATCAGTACGTTCTGAACCGGTGTGCATTTTTGAACAATATAGCTCCCCCCCGACCTTTTCACCTGACCATGCAACCTTCAATTTTTTAAGATGAATATACTGTATCTCCATTTTGAACTCAGTACTTGGATGTGAATCAATTAAAAATAAATATTAATACACAATGCTCAATGGTACACGTACCTATCTTTACATAGGTGTTAAAAAATAGGAATCGGTCTCCATGAAGTTTCAAAAACGCCATTTTTGAACTTGATTTTACTCCTTGTTTTTTCTTTGCTTCAACAACAGGTATATTTGTAGCGATACCAGTACCTAGCAACGCACAATACAGAATTCTTTCAACCTACATATTACTACGAGACAATCAAGCGGTTGCATTCGAATGAGAGAGTATGTCCAATACTAGTGCTATGTCGGATAACAGGAATTTAAAACAAACCAGCATAATCTGGTTCAATTATATTAATAAATTAGTGTAGGGGTTTGAGAAGTATAATTACAAATCGCGCGCGTGTTTGGTGTAACACTGAAGATTCCTGAACTATGGCAGGCTTTATTATGAATTTTGCATAAAGTTTTCCGTGTTTTTCGAACGTATGGTTTTGACTTTTAAAATCACGTCAGCACATTACACCATGTGACACCAGAGCAATGCTTTGATTGGTTAATGGAACTTTCCTAGACGTGCGCAAATTAATCGCAGTTATGCATTTTTACTAAAATACCTATCCTGCTCGTAGTCTGAATAGCACTATAGTAAATGATGACTCATGTCTTCAAAGAAAATCGAGTGAAATGGTGTTACAATAGAAATTTCAAACTTGCATGATCATTTACATTTGTAAACACCTCGAAATGCTGTCAATAGCGATATAATGAAAAAGCATCAGACGTGCCTCATTTTAACTTAGCACGCGAACTTGGTGAACAATATTCATGCAAAATGAAATACTGTAGCTACTATCACAACCGTTCATCAGATCCGTTTTACGGCAAATCTCATTTTATATAATCTATTCGACCTGCGAATCTGGTGTCATTTCATTATTAAGCACATAGTATAAGTTTAGTATATGGCAACTAATGCACTAGTCAATCGAAACTCTCCCCCCCCCCCCTCCCCCCACGGCATAGCGGGGAATTAACAAGGACAGAGCCGTGGAATAACGCCTATTTAATGCTGCATTTTGCCGGGGAGACATGAGGGGGATTTAACAAGCATACTATTTGCTGGGAATAAGTAGCCGGGATTTTAACGTTCGGCTAGAGTAGAGGAAGTGAACATGAGAGGTCATTGTGTTTGAACATGCTCATTGGTTTAGTACTACACTATCCTGTTAAGACCGACAGATTTTGTCTCTTATACTGTATACATTTTTGGTCGGCTTGTAGTTGGTTTTGTGGAAAGTGTTGGAAATCTCTCGGCAGAACGAAAAAAACTAGACTTGCCCACAAGTGGATGAAAAAAACAAGCTCAGTTGTTTATTTGTGTATTGCTATTTTCAGTACCGGGGCTTTTAACAGGGAATATCCAGGGGGGGGGGCGAATGAGTGGGAATTAACAACAGAAATTGTTAAATTCCCCGCTATGCCGCGCGGTTTCAATTGACTAGTGCATAATAAACACACACCAATTTCTACAAAACAGTCGGTGTCGCCTTAAGAAAAAATAAGGAGAAGTAAACTCGAGAGAAACCTCTGATCTGAAACCTTGTAAAACCGGGTATTCTGAAACCTTCTAAAACTCACCGATCAGCAACATCGTAATCGCCATCAGTATATCTGTTCGTTCCCGCGTAAGCTCACCGCCTGGCACAAAATTAAACGCTACAACCCAGACCGATGCTAAAATCAAGATAATGTATAGACCCATTGCTACAGGTAAAGTTGATCCAGGAGTGCAACGCACCAATTTATCTGCCATTAAAGGCCAAATTGATATGACGTAGATTGCAAGGATTATCCCACCAGTAAATGACCAGTGTTTTGGTAAGTAGTATAACATCGCCGCTCCTGAACAACCAAATAACCACCACACAAACGATCCCGTCCAACCGCGCGGAGAAATCATTATACCAACACTTAAGGCAATCAGTACAGCAATGCTATAAAAAAACAAGATAGTAAAAACGGTATGTAAGTAAAATGTTGATGCAATTGTTCATGTTTATTTATTTCAAGACACATGTATATCAAAGGCCACTCATTTGAAGTTATTGACGCGGCCGTTGTCCCAGGAAAAATGGCCTCCTCTATGGACAGTTTTCTCCTGTACTAACACTGAAGGGAATGACCCCTGAGATTGTCATCACTGTATGAACCTTAGGGGTGATAAATTAAAACTGATATAGAGATATCCATTAGTAAAGTCATTTTATGTGTAATTTTATTACCTAATCATTGTCTGCATATAGATACAGTCGAACCTGTATTAAGCGGCACCGTATTAAGCGGTCAGTCCGTCACCCTTTGTTAAGTGGTCATGTGGTAAAGTCCCGAAACTTTCATAATATAAATACTGTTTAATGACCTTTATTGAACGGCAACCTCTATTAAGCGGACGCGGTCACCTTTTCCACGGTCCCAAACTTATTTTTTCATTTTTTTGAAACTCTATTAAAAGGGATAACTACAGAAAACATAATACAATATATAATTAAATCTTTATTCGGCAACACGTCAAAGTCTTTAAGTTTTGTTTATCTCATTACTCGAACTTCCATATTCACTGAAAGTGTCATCAGTATTTTCAGTTCGTGTGGACGTACTATTCAAGCAATTTAAGCCGTCTGGTGATTTTCTACAAGACCTGTATTAAGCGGTCAACGTGTATTAAGCGGTCATGCACTTGCAAAATCCCTGAGGGTGACCGACTGTACTAAAAACATCTCATTCAGTGCTGTCGTTGCTCTATATACTGTAACTTACCCCCAGGGATTTGGGCTTGGTCCTGATTCGGGTGCGCCAGCACCAGCCCAACGCGATACGAGAGATACTTCACCAAACACCCAATGTGTGAGCCAAAACATTGATGAAAATCCAATACTAATACGCAGCCACTGGTGCCAGCTAACTCTATTTTCACTGTCATTCTTGGACTTGTGTGCTGAACTGTGGCCTGAGATAAACACGGCTTGGCTTACCGTCATCACAACTCCAGTAACACAAGTTAAAGTGTTAAATGTTGGACTCCACCACATTGGATTTAAGGAAACATAGCATATCCTTAGAGATAGCATTAAAAAGAAGCCAAGAATAGTTCCCCAAAACGAAAGGGTTCTAAAATTATGACATGTATATATTTAGCTGTCTTATTTCTACTATATGTTTGTACTTTTACTAAACAATACGCACTGCTCTCCCACCTTATCTATAATTAGTAATTATTTTTCCTATGGAGTATGACACAACCTAGCATAATCTATAATGTCTGTTAGTATGTTGCCCAGGTGTTATGATGATGTAGTTTTAAGGGGCTGTTTATGATCCAGGTGTGCCGGGATGGGATAGAATGGAAGGGGATGATTTTGATGCATTGAAATAAAGTGAAAATTCAAACACTGGTTAGAAGAACTCAAATGTTGGCTACAGAAGATTTCGTTGTTCAAGATGATTATTATTGCTGCTTGAACAACCTTTTGTTTATTATTATTATTATACTACTACTATCTATCACTAGGAAAATAATGGAGTTTGCTGAACCGTGCCGGCGTGTCCCGTGACCTATTTCAATATGTCAAAATCATCCGCCTCGCATCTCATCTCGGCAAAGCAGATCGATGATGTATAAAACAGTCCCTATATAACTATATTATACAGTACATCATGTAAAAACGAAATATTTGCTTTTAAAACTGGAAATACATGTCACTCAATTGTAGCCACAAATTGCGTAATCTGACGCGTATAATGTCACGATAGAAAGAATAAACAACACTCAGAAGTCGATGTGAAAACGTTCTAGGGAAACCACTGCATGCACTGACAAACGTTTCTCACTTATAAGGTTATGTTCAATTAATACAAATTCATTATTTACTGTATATGCACGTACATCACATATGCGCTTCAAGTAATTTTTTTCTTCACAGTTCTCTGAATTCGTCAAAAATTTCACCATTGATTCATATATTGGAAGAGTAACAAGGAGGAAACATTTATATCCCAAAGACAAAAATCTTACTAGATATTAATTACTAATGATTATTGTGGAACGACTGAATCAAAACTGCACAGTTTGCTACTAATGCATAGTAATTAATAAACAAGGCTCAACTACTACATTACCGTTCTCTTGGGGATTTCGACCACCAAGCGCCACACAACCACAGCATTGCACAGCCACATCCAAACATGAGAAGTATTAAACGGGAGAAAGTTGTTGATGCTTGAAATGAGATCACACCAACCATGGAGCATAATCGCATCACAGCAAGTCCGACATGAGATGATATAAATCTTGATACGAATGAAAAGTTAGTGATAATAGGAGAGAGAAGCACTACGGCAAAAGCCTCATAGCCCGTTATCTCTAGCTCATTCAGTGGATAAAACCATATCATTGCTCCCACAGCATGAATAAGAGACCACCATATGTAACCTATATAATATGAAAACATTTACTAACTTCAATATAACTGAAGGAAAGAAACAGTAACTATAATTTATGAAAACCTTTAATGTTGTCATGCCTGTCAAAAATGCATGCAAAATGTTTTCATCAATGTTTCTACTAAATTTGCCATGAACATAGAACATATCATTCTTACAAATCGTATGTTATTTGTTTTTTGAATTGCCACATTTTTAGCGGGAAAACGACGTCACAAACTTGACGCTAAAAAATTAACAGTTAGCTAAATGTATGCACAAAATCACCAATAAGTTATTTTAATTTTCTTGGCGCCAGGTTTCTGACGTAATTTACCCGCCAAAAAGTAGCAATTCCAAAATCATATATGATTTGTAAGAATAATATGTTCTATGTTCACGGGAAATTTTGTAGAAACATGAAAAGTAAAGAAGTTGAAGGATACTGGCGCTTTTGCACGCATTTTTGACAGGCGTGTGTTCCGGTGTCAACTACCGACGACAGTCTGGAAGCATGATCATCTAAGGGAAAGTACATTTATTATGCCGAGGGGGGGAATGAAGATGTTAAGGGGCACCGAAAGATTTTCTGGCATTAAAGGGGGGCTCTGAAAGTTCTCGATATACTGAAGAGGGGGGGGGGGCTCTAAACTTTTCAAAGTTTTGGTCCAGCAGGGGCCTGGAGTGTTCACTCACACCATAGTTAATAGAATAGATGGTTTGGAAACTCCCTCCTACTGTGAAATTCAGGCAAAAATTATGTAAAATTCAAGTTTAAATTTTGAAATTTTCAGGTAAAATTTGCGTAATAAAGTAATTATTTTTGTGAAATGACAACCATTTTTGTAAAATACAGTCCATTTACATGCAATTTGTTTGCGAATTTGCTTTAGAAAACGCCAGAAATTCAGTCCTAGAGCTTCAAACATGTAAAAATTTTCTGGGGAAGAACCCCCAGACCCCTCTTTTCTCCCAAAACTTAGAATGAGAGTGCCACTGTGCCAATAAATCACAAAAAGCTTTATTATAATTATTACACTTATAATCCTCTACAAATTTTGGCCAGCTAGCCTATACACCTGATCTAGACCTGAAAATTTTGGGCCATGCACTACAACAGTTGACTTAGGCCTAGTCAAAGGTAAGCCTTGTGGCAATGTAAACAATCCGTTTAAACACAACTTACATTTATGTAGTTTGTTTTGCACACATAACAACTTTAATATCGAGAAATACAATATTGTGCATTTGAAACACGACATGAAAATGTACTGTAAGCGGATCCGATGTGAAATTAGTTCTGACACAACGATTTTCTCGTAAGAAAATCTTTGCAGCAAATATCATTTTCCCATTAGAGCATGACCTAAAATCTTTCAGATGCTTATCCCCTATTTAAAAACGTTAAATTCTGAGTGTTTAAGGAAAGTACATTTATTACGCCGAGGGGGGATGAAGATGTCTTGGAAAAAGCTCATATTTTTACAGGGCCCCTGTTGAAATTATTGGTAAATTTTCGATGCCCCCCGGGGGGTGAAAATTTACCAATAATTAATTGCATTGGTGCGCTGACCGGACTGTTGTATATTTTTTAGGCATATCGCCATAACCCCTGTTTTGTGACCCCTGCCCATGTGATCAATTGATCAAGTATTTAAGTCCCTGAGCTGGGATGGACATAAAATGCTCAAATGCCCTGCTAGTACTTTAGTAACTTGCTAAGTTATTTAGTGCGCACAGTATATGTGCAAAGTATCATTATTTAATAATTATTAATGAATAGTAGTATAAAGTTATAAAATATAGTTGTATAGCTTCTCAGTATAGCTTCCTTAGGGGCCGATTACATGGGCGAGTTGTCCCGGCTAACCGAGTTGACTCGCTTTGCCGAGTTGACTCGCTTTGCCGAGTTGACCCGCTCCCTATATGTATTGTCTATTATTTTGACATTTCGATTACATGCAAAGCGAGTTGTCCCGCCTTGCCGGGACCGCGGCTGTAGCTTGCCGGGTCAACTCCCTTAGCCGGGACAGAAATTGCCCACACATCCCATGTAAACGTTTTCAAGGTGAAGATAGGAAGTGACACAATTTTGTTAGAATACAAACAGTATACGCCTGTTGGGATCAGTGCAAAGTATAAATACCTCAACCAACAACATTCAGTGGGTAAAGTAGTCCTCAAATACAACGAATACACCATTTTTAATCGATTTCTAACACCGAGTATTAAATTGTTAAGCATTACAAATTTTAATGAGCTACTTCAGCCCAGCTAGCCAGGTTAGCGCGGTGCATGTAATCGCAATTCACAAGTGAACTCGCTTAGCCGGGACAACTCGGCAAAGCGGGACAACTCGGCCCATGTAATCAGCCCCTTACTTCAAATTCGTGAAAATCGTATGGTAACAAACTAACAAAGTTTTTAATAAATAAATGAAATAATTAATAGTTTTTTTCAAGTTCTCAATTTAGTAATAAGTACATTATACATTTTATATAGTTAGACTAGTTAGTCAGTTAATGACTTAGACTTTAGACCACCTACTGCGCATGTTTCCCCATGCTGTTACGACTTCGTCCAAATCCAGCAAATCAACAACATCTCTGTTTAACGAAATGCATAAAAGATCACTTAATCTTTCTGGAAAAAGGGTGGATCGCAGCTTCGTGCAGATACGATTCATGCTGGAAAATGCTCTTTCCACTGAAGTGGTTGATGTCGAGATGGTGTTCTTAACTGCAATTAAAGCGGTCAAGTTTGGAAGCCTCTTCGGATTTATTGGTAGACCAAGACGGTAATCAACTTCAGATCTTTCGATTTCTAGTTCGAGGATAGATCTGTTGGTGTTGAGACAGCTGAAGGTATTCTGAACTTGCATTAAGATCGAGCATTGATAGCTCTAAGGATGTCTATGTTCTTAGAGTCAAATCTGACATTAAACTCATCGTTGAGTTTCTTCTTCAGCTCTGCGTTGATTTCTCCAATAAATTCTTTTACCTGATGACCCTGATCATCGGGAGTCGTAACTGTTGTACCTGGTCCTCTAGTGTTGTGGATAGGCATTGTGTCGCAGAGAGTCTCCAGTCTTTCTTGAAATTTCTCGACTCAACGAATATGTCCTCGTCTTTGATGTTGTTAATTCAATTCCGAGTTCGAGTCAGCTCGTATTAAACGTCCGCCCAATCAATTTCTTCGGCCTGAAGTTCTTTATTAAGGAGGTATACTGTAGCTTGCCGAGATAGTTATGAAGTGTCGTCAGACCGACGATGAATTTTCCTGACATCAGTTTGTGGTACAGTCCAGCTGCTGTTTCTGCCTGTGATTTCTTATACCCATACTCATCATCTTCCGAATCTTCATCACTTCCACCGGGGTCGTTTGCCACGTCTATCAGGATCGTGAGGACAACGTAACACCAAATCTTTCAGATATAACATCAACGGCTTCGTATTTGCATCCCCAACGAACATCGATTTGCTGCGTAATATGTTTAATTAACTTGTTTGCTAGGATACATTTCTCTGTGGAGTGATTCGTACTTTTGTCTGATCTTCGGTTTATTGAGCAGTGTATGGCAGGATTTTACTGTGGTCATAACATCCGTTGATGACAAAGTTAGACTTGCGCTCGTAGCTTAGACTTACAGTATTATTCTTAGCCTTTTCACTGAAATTTTAGGCTTAGTTATTCTACCTTGTTTTTCATCCAAGTTTAGTTTAGTCGTTGCTTTTTATCTGGTCTTTTTACCATAGACGGATTTTCATATTTTTTACTGGGGTTGTGCCAGAAATTTTAGGGGGGTGAGCCGTGAGCAGGTGACTGAAGCAACACAAAGTGTCACCAAACCCCAGTAAGGTCTATATTCTAGGGGTGGAGCACTAGAGCAGCGAGGGGGAGTCTAGAGAGCAGAAAACAAAGTATCCCTGGAAAAATTTGAAAAAAATCATGATTTCTAGCTTCGAAAAAAAGTTTTTTGAAGTTGTCATATCAATGGATTTGGCATGTCCGATTGTCTGTTGAGACTTGAGGGAGTTAAAGTTAAATGAACCTGTAAAAGTGTAAACCCAATAGGCCAATACACAATATGCTTTTACTTTTATAAAGTCATTGACATTGTATCGTTTGAATCCGAGTACAATTTATGATGCAACTCCAATGTAAATAATATTTGGGGCGTAAAGATTAAATCTAGGCAAGTCTATTTCCTAAAAGAATTAAAAACTAAAAATAATGTTCGTAAAAATTCCAAACGTTCCTTGCAAGCAAGCTATTTGCATGACAAGGCACTGAAAACTCTATTCAGGGGAGATAATAGAGTTTCAAAACTTTACAATTGCTCCAATAAATCAGTGAATGCAAGCGAGGAGCGATTAGTTTCAGAGTATTGCACTGTCTTTTTTTCTATTTGAGTGTACTCCTACGTTTATTTTGTATCATCAACACTCTGCATGTTGGAGTGGACTATTTAATTATTTTTTATTATGCCGAATATTGGGGGGGGGTTGAAAATTTTTTTGGAGGGGTGGACATTTTGTTTGGGGGAGGGGTTATAGCTAATATTG